CGTCATTCGCCTCGCCGTCGCTAAAAGCGTGAAGTATATTTTCAACGTCACCGATCGATTCATCTCGTAGCAGTAGACTTCATCGGCAGTCCGGCTTCCTCGAAACTTCGTCGACATGGGCGCTCGCGGAAACTCAGACTTGCGCGCGGCACCGTGCATCATTTACGAAAACGGTATAAAATGAAAACGTCGTGTGCCCTTCACCTCGTCCCCCCTCGCCCCAACTGCTGCTAACTTCTTACCGAAGTCGAAGTCTGAAATCGGGGCCCGTGGGACGGAGGAGCGCCTCGCGAAGAAAGTAGCAACGTTTACACGCGATCATAAATGTCGCGGAACAGGTGAGAGCGGGAGGTAGTCGGCGGGAGCGCTCCCTTCGAGTTTCCAGGGCGAAAGGGTCAAGCGGAAAGTGCCGTTTTATTGGCCGGGGTTTTATTAAACAATTTGCGGTTAATATCGGCGAACAAGTTTTACGCCGCTGCTCTCCTCGAGTTAAGTAAATTAGCCGCCCCGACGTGATACTTGGGGTTTTAGTGGGGGACCTTAAAATAGTTACAGCCGATACGCGTTTCTTGTTTCGCGAGAAATTCCTACGGTGAGATACACGTCGAGCGTATTTTTCGGCCGGAGCGCGTGCGTCGATTTTTCGCGAAAAGTACGACGCGCTCGATTTTAAGCGATCGATAATTAAGACGACGAGAATACGGTCGTCTTTGTAATCCGTCTGGCTATCGTTTCGCACGGATTTCTGCCGTCGTCGCGCAGATATTAATTCCGGCGGCCGTAATTAAAAGTTTCACGGGGAAATCACTCGCGAGTATTGAGTGCGCAAGTTCAATGGGGAGAATACGAGACGAGAACGCTCGGCAGCCTCCGAGAGCAGAGAGAGAGAGAGAGAGAGAGAGAATGAGCGAGGGAGGAAAGTCTAGTTTTAATATTAACTGCACACACAGCCGTCGCGAGAGCTTTCCGCGCCCACTTCAGGTCTCCCTCTCTTTCTCTTCTTTTATCCGTCAATATTTATCATTGTCTCTAGTTCCTCCGCCGCGCCACCGCTCTTATTCTCGTTATTCGTGCGGAGCCTTCTCGTATTTGCGATTAATTATATCTTCTGAAAAGCTTAGGGAAGCCGCGATCTCTTATGAAAACCTCATGAAAACCCGCATGCCGTACACGTGGAACTATTAACGGATGGAACAGTGGAACGTTTGTCAGGGTGATACGAGGACACGCGCGAATTCGCACCCGACGAGTAAAAAAGCTCCTCGCTTCTCCTCGCGATCCTGTGCTTCTGCTAAACGGATTGGCAGCTTTGGTCGCCAGTTTCGGCGCCCGAACTGAAGTAGAAAGGCAACGACGAAAAAAAACATTGGACTGCAAAGCGCTCGGAAATTTATTCGCACCCACGCGCGCTGGGCACCAGCGCGTAACGAGGAAGCGGGCAAATATACGAGCGACGCGGGGAAAAGTAGACGCGACAAGCGCCTCCCGTAAAATCCGCGCGTCTCACGCGCGAAGAAAGGAATCCAATGAAGTCGGCGCCGAACTTATTACACGCTCGACGTTGTAATCTATACGAATCCCCATCGGCTCATCCTCTTTATCGACGGCCGTCGCGACGGAAGCTGCATCTACTGCAGCGGAGGCGACAGCAACAACGTGATTTTCAGCCACCTCGGCCACGACGACGTGGGGAATAAAAAAGAGAAGGCGAGATTCGCCGACGACGACGACGGGGTGTCCCCGATACATCCCCTCCTTAATCCTCATAAGATGTACGTGTGCCACATAGTAATTTACTTTATGAAGCTTTTCCAACGCCTGTCGAGGTCATCACTTTCTCCCTTTATATCGACCGGCGCGGCGGAGGCGGCGGTGACCTCCCGGGACGGGCTCATAACCCGTAATAACCGGGAGACGACGCCGACGAGCAGCGTCGACAATGATAAACGTCTTTACTTGCTACGATGGCGAAAAGACCGGCACGAGGCGCCGCGCCAAAGGAACGGTGGAAGAAAACGCAAAGATATTGCTACACCCCAGAGCCGCCCGCAATCATCAACCGTCGGTGGGCGAGGACTAGAAAAACAGAGAGGAAGAAGAGAGAGAGAGAGAGAGTGGAAGTGAGAGAGTAGAGTTTATTATCCCATGGGATACAAATATCTCCTTAGCTATACAAAGTGAGAGAGAGAGAGAGAGAGAGAGGGAGACTAAAAGAAGGGGGAGAGAGATGTAGGAGAGAATGAGAGAAAGAGAGAGGGAGAGAGAGAGAGAGGAGGAGAGATGCGGGAAAACACGTCGACGATATGGAGTAAATTATGAGAGTCGAACGGCATCGATTGCCAGCCAGGCACCCTCCTCGCTTTCCCACCCTTTCCAAAGTCAATTACGCGCGACACCCGTCGAAAATGGGGATGCGCCGTGATGCGTCCTGTGAGCGGCGATGTAAAACGAGCGACGATTTCCCAACGCGGGCGATGAGACCGCCTTTCCAGCGCGCAGAGATCACGTCGCGTATTTCTGCGGGACCGCACGCAGGAGAGACAGAAAAATTAGCGGAGCACGAGCAAATTTCTAAACGGGTCGCAGACCCGCACCTTTTTTTATCCCAACTAACAGCGCGGCGGGGCAGAGATGCGCGGTTAAATGACGCAAAAAGACGGGACCGCGGAAAAAGGCTGGAAAACGTCGGGGTAAGTACTTACAGCGGTAACTGGAAGGGAAAAAAGGATAGAAGAACATGGAAAAAGGAGGAGCATTCGCGCAACCCTTCTATTCGCGAATGATACGGCCTCCCGCCCTCAAAGATAAAAGGAAAAAGAGAAGAGAGATGTTACCACGGTGAGCCGTTGTTCGATGTGTTAATGCGAACGAAAACAATTTATTCTGACTGGGGTTACCGCTCCATGAGAGACGTTTCCCATTTTCGCGTATAAGTTCATTTCACTCGCAGAGGATCCGAACTTCAAACGCGTGCATCCTCTCTCTCTCTCTCTCTCTTTCTCTCTATTTCTCCTTCCTCCTCTCTGTACACGCATAGACACAGAGATGAGCCATAATTACGCCACGCAGTCCTGGATCTTTCAGCTCACGCGTCTTCGTGACCCGTGAATGCGGGTCATACGCGCCTATTTAATTGGACTGTTTAACAATTCAACGGCATACGGCGCATAATAAACGAACCGAGTACACCTTGATCAAACAAACGTTAGCGAAGCTGTCGCGATCACGCCCAGTTGGCCCGACGTTGTCGCTCGATCATTAACCGGCACATGAACGCATTTACATCAAGATTGCATTTCGCTAATTAATTATACGTTACAGTTACATAGCCGCGAGTCAATCATCGAGTCATGCTTGCATTCGCTCTCACCGATCCGCTCTCACCGAGCGGAATTAAAAAGCGCCGTTTACAGTTTACCCGATGAAAAACGCGACGTAACGCTGATACTCGTAATATTATATCTCCTCCCACTTCACCCGCTCGCTCGCTCTTTTTTCTCCCTTTCTCTTTTTACCGCGCACAAAAAAAAATGTAAATCGCGAATGAAACTGGATAAATCCATATTCATACGAGCGTACGTACGTTCGCGCGAGTACAACTCCGCGATTAAACGGAAATAAACTAAAGTTTCTTCGGATGGAAAAAAGGGACGTCTACTCTGCGGCATTAACACTCTTTTAAGCTCTCCTTTAAGCGCGTCCCGTCCTGTAATCGACAATAACGATAGATTCCTCCCCAACGAAGGATAATAGGTGCCTCGCGAAAAATCTCGCGTTTTATCCAAGTCGCTCTCTCCCCTTCTCTCTTCCTCTCTCGCGCAGGGAAGCGATATAATCATTGTTTTTCAAACGGCGCCGCTCGCACCGCCGTCGACGGTAACGCCCGCTCGGCAAAAGCGCAAAAATCGAACTCGCGACGTTCGTCTTCTGGTATCGAACGAAGTGCGCGAACTCATAAATAACCTTAATTTACACTCGATGAAAAAGCCGGTAAAAAGTCTCACTTTTGCGGCGGGTCAAAAGTGCATTAGCAAGATTATACATATATCGCGCGCCGCAGGAAGGCACTTTTTGCCCACGGAGCGCCGGCGGAGACCTCGGCGAATACGCCAGAGGACGTATTCGATAAATGACACGCTGTAAAAAAAGTTTATCGCACATCGTCTCTCTCGCGTCGTCCAATACTGTCATAAATAATTACTGGAGGGATACCTAGAACGGCGCGGTGAGATTAGCGGACACCGAGGCACCTCGTCGAGAGAGCGAGAGAGAGAGAAAAAAGAGAGAAATAGGAAGGGGAGGAGTATCGCTATCCAATGACGATGATCGATATCGCGGGGATCATTGGAACGGCGGATCTCTATAAAACGAAACGACCTTGTAATCGTCGCAAGAATATTCGCACCGGACTTACGTCGAACGCGCATAAAATTACAGCTCGATTTCCCGTGTACATACATACTATACGCGCGAGACTCGATATGTAAATCTTTAAGAGAGGTCTTGTTTTTTTTTTGTTTTTTAAAGAAATCCTCACGCGAGCGTTTAATTTTGCATTATCGAGTCCATAAAGCGAAGCTGCGAACGCGCGGGCGTTTTTCTCGAATTCGATGGAAAGGAGGATTCGGGTGCAAAAAATGCAGTTCCTTTCGACACCCAATGCAATCCATATTCCGATAACATTTGAGCGAGTACTTTTTTCTCTCGCTTTCACATTACGTCGCCGTTATATCTGTCATTTTGCATGCTCATAGAGATCCGTACACGTTTCGAATGCGTTTCGAATTCCGATCGGAAGTATCGCGCGCGATGCTTGCGCCTCGCGAACGCTGAAGCAATTTTCAAACAGCAGTTACGTTATTATCGACACGTGACTTTTTTCCCCTCCCGAGCGATTCGGAGTCATCGGTCTGACCCTGAATTATTCCCCGGAAAACTGCAACTCACGCAGCACGATGTTGTCCGAGACTGACGGAGTACAACATGCAGCGTATGTTGTTGCCACTTCGCGATATCGGCTCGCTCGCGTTACATACGACGGAAACGCGGAAATCGCGCGGATTTCTTGAAGGATCGGCGACGACGACCGCAGGTGTCTCGGCCTGACCCCGCGCCGCGGCGAATACCACTGGGAACGCATCCATCTCGGCGGTTGACGTTAAAGTGTGTTTGATCATCCGTTCGGCGCACGCCACGACAATATTTTTAAAACAAGTATTCCGCGTTGTGTTGTGTCGGAACCAACGTTGTTACGGCACCGCCGGAAGTCCGTATGAATATTCAAGCGACGGTACGCGACGAGTTTCACGTCGCACGCTCGTAGACGTAGCGCGGAATCAGCACGACGCGCGATCTTCGGGAGGTTCTGTCTTCTTTCGCTCGTGTTTCCCGGGTTATCGGCCGGATGAGAAGGCGCGAGGCAGGTTAAAGCGCGCGGAGGATTCCCGAAGAGGAGATATGTCGGACGATTTGAACTCGACGTCGTCGCCGCCGTCGGCGTCCGAGCAGACACCGGTGGATGGCAGGAACGAGGACCTCGCCAAGTGGGAAATCGCACTGCTGACCAGCATATTTCTCATCACCCTCATCGGCAACACCCTGGTCCTGCTCGCGCTCTACGCCAGGAAACGTCGTCAGCGGCGCAAGTTCAGCAGGATGTACTTCTTCATCCTGCACTTATGCATCGCCGATCTGTTGACGGGCCTGTTTGACGTCCTGCCGCAGCTCGCCTGGGACATTACGTTCAGGTAAACTGCACCGTCACGACTGACCTCATGCTTCTTTAATGAGCCTCCGTTGTGACTGATGCCGCTGTGAACTTCTGCCCGAACGGCGACGATACGGCGGAATGTGCCCAGTGGAAAATACGACGTTTTTTGTCACGCCGCAATTATAAATATTCTGACTGATAAGTGAGTTACTCCACTATTATGTATAATGTTTCCACGACGAGATAAGAAATGCTAATTGGCCGTACTTATAACCCGCCGGTGCTATTGCTGGAAATTCTCGTCACAGTTAACCGATATTCCGTCCGACGACCGACAGTCAGGTTATATTTGAGCCGTCGCTGATATAATTCTTGTCGAATAACGCGCGGGCGACAACGAACGTGACAGAGCGACGTCAGATTTCAGGGCGGAGCGGTGCTCTGCAAGCTGATCAAGTTCGGTCAGCCGTTCGGCATCTACCTCAGCTCCTACATCCTGACGGTGGCCGCGGTGGACAGGTATTACGCCATTTGCCACCCCTTCAGTTACTGCAGCGTCACGTCCAGGAGATCGAAAATGATGGTGTACGTCGTCTGGCTGCTCGCCGTTGTGCTTTGCGTGCCGCAGGTCCGTTGAGAATTTCATTCTCGTTTCTCTTTCTTTCCCCTCACGAAAACAGGGGGAGGGAGATGAGCGTCTTATTCATGCCCCCTGCTTTGCTCTCTCGTGAGCAGCCCGGATCAATTTATTTGGGGTATTAATTTTTATCCCGTGTGGAACGATGCGCCGATAGCGTCGGCGCCGCTAATTTATGAGCGATACCAATTGTATGGACTCGTCGCTTATAAATGCGCTAACGGAGAAGAATTCGCGGATTTCTCGATATTTTGACCGACCACGTATCTACCGCGTCTCCGTCAAGCGTCCGAGTTGAAATTTTGGATCTACATTAAGTCTACTTAGTTCTATATGAAATCTTCAAGTGGAAAAGACAGAGATAACTTCTCACATGTAGTATCAAAGGAGCACAATAAAGACCTTTAAAGACTTAATGTAGAAATTAGCCTTAATATAGAAATCAAATTTCGACTCAGGCTGTCTTTAAGAATGCGATCGCGATCAAAGAGGTCTTGAACGGTTACAGGTCTTCATATTCTCGTATCAGGAAATTTCGCCGAACGTTTGGGACTGTTGGGCCACGTTTAACGTGAAGTACGGCGAGAGGTCTTACGTCACCTGGTAATACATCCCGTGTCGAGCAACGCTACATTGACGGAAAAGTATTTAAAAATTTATTTGCGACATAGAAGGTATATTTTTACAGAAATAAATCTTATTTCCGTGAAATAAGCCCTATATCTCACGAATAAGTTTTGAAGTACTTTTTCTCAGTATATTGAATTTTCGAGCGTGACAATCTACAGAACGCCGATTATAATCGCAGGTACAGCGTGACGCAGTTCCTACTGCCTTTCATCGTGCTCGTGTACACGTACACGAGGATATGCATCACGATATGGACGAGCAATAAGATGTCGGGAGTGGTCGATCTTAGAAAGGGCAACAAGGCCAGTTTCTCGCAACGGAATCGCGACCCTTTCATCTCAAAAGCGCTGATCAACACCGTGAAACAGACGATCATCGTGGTCATTCTGTACATCGTCACCAGCACCCCTTTCATCGGATGCCAGCTCTGGGCGACATGGGATCCCGGAGCCGCGACCTCGCCGTTTCACACCGGTAAATATTTCACAAGAACGTCGGCTGATGTCACGCCTGGGAAACGATCGAGGAAACGAATCGGAGAAATTATATCAGCGATTATAACAATAATCATAATGATAACTTCGTTGAAATATGAATATAACATATGTTGACGACAGAAGGTCGCTAAGTAGAGCTAAAATGTCGATTCTGGGCATTTCTTATTTTACTTTTCGATCCGATTCGGAATCTCGAATCGCTCGTTAATTCTCGCCGCGTTTGCAGTTCTGCTTTACTCGATGCAATTTTCAGAAGCTGCCTTCACCATTCTATGTCTGTTAAATAGTCTCACGAGTTGTATTAATCCTTGGATTTACTTCGCGTTCAACAGAGAGTTGCGCTCTGCGTTGACGAACTTGTTCTTCAAAAGGAAGGATTACTCGCCGGCCTACGGTAATCGTAATTTCTTGTCTTAACAATCGATCTCATCGGACTGCGGAGAATATATAGTTAGAATACTTTGCGTTTTGCCGTTTTCTTTCAGACGCGGTCGCGCAACAGAACGCGTCGGACGCAGCTTCCACCACGTCGTCGTTTATCTCCAGAATCTCGCGACTCGCGAGTTCAAAGATATTTGGATGAAAACGCACGAAATAAAGTTTGCATTTTGAGGAGGACTGTTTTGAATATAAAGAATACACTGTGAATAGTTGATGCGCGACACACGCGCACAGAGACACACGTATACTACGTGCGGCGGCAGATGTGTAAACGCGTTCGATACGACATCGCGCAGAGACGTGCGATTACTTTGTACGAGAATTTTTCAATGAAACTTGTTGAAGTACCATCCCGTTTACTCTACCATTTCTTCCAGCTGTCTGCGAACGAGAGGGAGGGAGAGAGAGAGAGAGAGGGGGGAGGGGTATTTTTTTCACGCGAAAATACTCGACGACAATTAACCGAGCGCGCACAAAGCGACATATACAAGAGACTACTTTCGATTTTTTCTTTTTCTCTCTCTCATTTTCATATTTTTCATCATTTCGAAAACGTTTCGACGACGTCCGGACGCTCTCGTGTTCTCACAAAACGTTCCACCCGATGAAAACGTCGCTCTTGCAATTGCTCGCCCGCGAGTCATTCTTCCTTTCTTCCCCTCTCTTTTTTTCATTTTCCATCATATTCGTAATTCCCGTCGTGTATCTCCGCCCACGTGCGCCATTCTTCACGATCTGTTATACTTAACACGGTTCCACCTCATTAGTATTTCCATCGGCCGGGCGTCTATTCTGCCCCGATGTTTGTACTCCCATTTTTATCCCGATCATCCCAGAGGCTCCCACACTTATGCTAATGCGGCACCCAGTCAGGTATGAGTGTTCCGATATTCCCGGTGTCACCGTTCGATTCTTCGAGAAGCGGAGAGACTCGTGGATCTTTCGACAAGAAGATAAACATTATTCGCGATACAAGAAAGAAAGAGAGCGATCTTTCATTCTCTCTCTGTCTCTCTCTCTCTTTTGTTCTCTCGGATCGCGGCACCGCACGACGCTTGTTACACTCCCCTCTTCGTGGCGCCCACCTGAGGTGATGACAAACTGAGAACCCCTGGTGGAACACCTGAATACTTAATCAACGGATAAAATTAACATTAATAAAACGTCTGTCTGTGGCCGATCCACATCTTATCCGAGGACAAACACGGCACAAACGCTAAAGCCACGTGATATACGCCTCACAACGAGGCCACGGCGAGGAAGTCGGCGGTGTTCGTCAGTTTTCCACGTCGTTTCTCACCGGTGCGTCGATGGACGACACCGGTATCAACGAGGAGGTGCCGTTCGCGTTGGACCGAGTGACGAGCAGGATGGAACGGAATTCGGAGGAGTATCGCGGCGAGCCGCCGAAGAACGAGGTAGGATCGAGCGGGTGCGATCGCGTCGCTAAGAATTCCCGTGCTCGAGGTCTCGCGACGAGGCGGAATGGCAAAGCCATTGGAACGCTTCTGTTTTAGTCCGAGAACGAGAGCAACGACGAGGATTACGCGCGTTCGCCGGTGTTGCTCGACCTCGACGAGAACTCCAAGCAACAGCAGCAGAAGGCGGCGCGTCGCGAAGCGAGCTCGCCGAATGCTGCGCCCGCGGTGCAGGATCAACGCTTGCAGGATCAACTGATTGCGGGTGCGCCAGGTAGGTCCTTCTGGGTGAAAATGCGCGTCGACGGATAATCAGTTCTTTCAGCATCTTTCATTTTCCTTTCTTTTCGTTCGCGGCTTTGATGTGTGATCGCCGGACGACGATTAGAATGGTGTTGTTAACCACGAGTCTCGTTGCCGCAGACGAAACCACGTCGGCGGCGCGGCCTCTGAGAGGCGGCAGATGGCGAGAGACGGGCTACGAATCGGCGCGTCAACAGAATCCCGAGGGAGTGCTCGTGATCAGAGTGCCGGAGCCGGAAATAATCGGCAGCCACTCGCAGCTCGAGATGCTCCACGAGACCAATATCAAGTCGGTGCAGCAGGAGCCGTCGCAGACTGAGAAAGGTGCGGCAATATCAAATTGCGCGTCGCCTGGTGAGATTACATCCATCCTCGATTCGACTAATTTAAGTATCTTGGCGGAAGAATCGCATGTGCGGGGCGTGACGTTAACCACCGGAATTCGGCCGGACGTGATCGCAATGACGGTACACAGGCGGCGTGTGTGCTCTCTCTGTAAATTTCTTGGGGCGAGGTCTCTCGCTGGAAATGCAGAGTGACCATCGAGTCACTCGAATTCCATATGGAGCGAATTCTCCGCTTTGAATCGCCGAGTGAGCGTTTTCACAGTCGAAATTGAAGAGCGAATCTGATAGACGGTCGGCAGAATTAAAGGTCGCAACGTTTTTTTTCTCCTCGATGAATTTCCCAACGCGCCACGTATCCAATAGGAAAATATATTTCCTGAGAATTGTGAAAAAACAAATATATCTCATTGGGCACAAGATGCGAAACTGCGTCGAGAAAAAAAAGCGTCGCGACCTTTGATCTGCCGATTATATGTACTCACCGTCCCGCTGGAAGCATATTTAATCGATCGGAAACATTCGCTCTCATATGGAGTCGGGGACTCAATCTAAGCTCGAGCAAAACGTTCACTTTTACAAATTCGAGTGGGGCAGTGTTTTCGTTATCGCTTCGAACGAAAATACTGCCACTTTTCACTCGTTTTGAGAGTGAGGGCTCCGCTATAAGAAATTTACAATAGACTATTACGCGGCCATTCTCGGAACGGCAAGGTCGAGTCTCCCGGATCGTCTTGTCTCGCGAAGCCGCTTTTTCCTCTTTTCCCTCTTTTTCTCCCCCTCTTTCTCGCGAGTTTGCCGCTTTTCGTACATCGGGGCATTCAACAGAGAGGGCTGCTCAATTGTCCGAGACGAAGGGCACAATCGGCGCTCGCGACGTTCCTCGCGAAGGGCACACGCGAGCGCAGCTCTCGCTCCAACAGCGCGACCCGCAGATTTTTGTCACGTGTCCGTTGTATCTGTCGCAGCAGGATCGAAGGACGAGGCTCCTCTCGTTGACGCCACAGTCGCGACTTATTTTCCGCCGCGCTCCTGCGTCGACTCTCGTTCCTGCGGAGGAAGCGCGCGAGAAGGGTTGTAGCGTGTGAATATAAATTAGGGGAGGGGGGCGAAACGTATGCGCATTTCGGAAGGAGCCGGCGAGCTATTTTCGCGTCACGGTTCTGTATTCAATTTAGGCTCCACCGGCACATTTTTATGCCGACGCTCGCTCGCTCGCTCGTATCGCCGTTTCGCCATGCGACGTTTAAAGTTATTTGTAGACGCGCGTGTGCGCGCATCTCCGTGCACGTACGTACGAGCGAACTCGATTTGCAACTCGACAGGGTTCGACGAGAATCGCGTAAGCGCAAGCGATCAGTCTGAAGATTCATAAACATCGCGTCTTTCGAAATCAACCGCAGAAGGTTCGCGAATCGCGCGGAAATCTCGACCGAGTCGCGTGGACACTCGCGTTGCGATCAACGAAAACTATCTTTCGACACGAATTCCCTTAAAATTCTACAAAGTTTCTTTTGTGAATCGAAAAATTCATAAGCTTCGCGTTTCCTAAATCAATCGAAACGCTTGCGAGTCGCATGGAAATATCAATCCATAACATAGATGTGCTGCAGAGAATAAGTAAGACGCAGTAAGAAAAGTGACTAAACACAGTCGATTATTCTTTGACCGTAAGGTCAATTTTTCTATCGCATAAGCCTCAAGGTCTTTATCCAGACAAACTCGTATTATCATATATTGCATATGCATTAGGAAAGAAATCAATCGTGCAAAAAATCCGTGCAAAAAAATATATCATATTAGACACATCATTAGTTAATTTCCTTCTACATGTGCATTACGCGACTATGCAAATTTGTCTGGAGAGGCCTTTATTGCTTACGCACATTTACGCTTTACGCGCGTTTTTTTGTGGGCCGTTACCTTTAGTGACTGTTTTCTAGTACGAATTCGTCTCGAGTTCTTCCCGAGTCAAGAACTTCACGTCTAATCGGCCTTTCGCGTTATATTAGGGCATACAGAAAAACGTAAGAAGTAAAACTCGAACACTGAGGAAATTGAGCAAACACGATTATTCTCCGACCGTAAAAAGTATACAGCAAGACGTAAACGGTAAGCTAATTAATCAATTAGTTCTTACAGTCCCAGAATAGAATCGTGGTTGGTCAATTAGCTCAGGTCAAATTGCTTACGTCTTGCTGCATACTTTATGAGTATTGTAGGCGTCTTATTAGAAAGTCAATTTTCCTATTATTTAGATTTTACTGCTTACATTTTTCTGAGTACCTTCACGTGACTGTCTTCCAATACGTCTCGAGTTCCACGGAGTTCCTCTCGAGAAATTCATAAATTTTCTACTCTTTCTAAATCAAGCAGAACGCTCGCGAATAACGTAAAAAATCTCGACAGAGTCGCAGACATTCGCGTTCAAGGGTCAACAACAAATATCTCCTAATTCCCGAACGAATTCCCTTAAAATTCCACCTTAGTTGCTCTCGGGCCCAAAAGTACACCAACTCCGCGCTCTTTGAATAAATTCAAACGCTCGCGAATCTCGATTTAATCGCAAACTTTCGCGTAATGTTTAGCTCTCTTCTAATACGAATTTGCCTCCAGTTCTCGAGATATACTATCCGAGCCGACCGAGGGGGTCGATTGTGTACCTCAAAACGCAGTGAGAATTACAGAAGCGGGCTGATTCATTAGGTGTTGAATAGAGAAATTATAAATATTCTAGTAAATTTGCTCACTTTTGTAACTCTTACTACTAGTTTTGAGATACTCAATCGAGTAACCCCCTGGCTACCTGTACGCGTAGCTCGCGACGTAGCCGTTGCTGACTCTCTTCAAACGCGCACCGGCATCGACGACAGCTCTCCCACGCGCGTTACGGCTTCCGTCGCCCCTCGAGATGCGCTTCACACGTTCGCCATGCCGTTTGTTGTTGCCGCTGGGCGAGACGCGACCGGTCGCTCCCTCAGCGCCCATTCCGCCGCGTTTGCCCAGGATCTTGGCGAAAAACTGCAAAATTGTTTGCCCGCCGTCCTTCCACCAGCTGCCGCCAGCGCGTTTCTCGGCCGCGCCCCGGTCGACGCGCCCGCGCTCCAACCGATTTCCTCGCAATTTCTCTTCGCATATCGTCGTCCCTCGCGCGTCCTCCCGACCTTCCTCCTGGGTCCGCGGAAACTCGGTCGATCGCTCGGGACCATCCGGGACCGCAACGTCCTCTCGTTGCTCCGTCGGGAACTCGACGATCTCCTCGGTCTCCACGGAGATATCCCGACATTTCTCCTCATCTTCGAGATCAGGGAAAATTAGCTGTCTGTCTTTCCAACGTGATCGTTTTTAAACGGACTTTACGTAATGTCGCCGGTTCACGTTATCACGCGAAGTCGATGCCGTTGTCACATGTGAATTATGTGAGGAGAATTCTTGCAATATTCTATTCTAATTATTAATTACTTCTTACTCTCGCCTTCGACACCGTGGCATTCGGCGGACGCCACTTCGGCCGAGCTTTGTTGCGTTTCATCGCAGTCCCCGTTGTCTTGCTTCGTGGTCCCAGGTTCAGAGTTCGGGGTCGTATCATGGAACATCTCCGAGCTCGGATCCGCAACTCGCGGCAACACGCGTACCGTCATCCTCTTGCGCGTGTATTGCAAAGGCATTCGAAAGTACCGCGCCTCGTTCAGCCGCGTTCCTTTTCGCGCACGAATTAAACGAATTACACGGAGAGAAATAATTTTGCTGTTGCAGTTGAGACCACATCGTTGCTACTGCATATGCGTTGCGGCAGCAATAAAACTTAATTAGCATAACCAACGATAATTAACGAATTATTCATAATTAGTGCAGAAACAGTTTTGCCAACAGGATAGAAAATATTCTGCTGAATGAATTTGTTTATGGGAAGTTTGCCGTTGGAACAAAATAATGTCTGCCTATATTTACTAATTTGTTCCTAAAGCAAATTGTAGATTCACCAAATTATCCTCAATCTATTATTTCTATATAATTAATGACAGCATCATAGTCATCATTCTCTAACGCTTATAGGGTTTAATGTACGTAAATGTTTCATGTCTGATTTAGATTATATTGTCTCTGTAAATCAAACATATTATTTACTTTTTATATTGTAGAAAAAAGGATAATTATACTTTCCTGTTTAATTAAAAAAATAATAATAATAAAGCAAATCATTCTGCTGTACCGGCAAATTATTCTTTTTCCGTCTCCTCGAGACGTTTTTTTAGCGCGTCGGAATCGCTGAACCTGAGCCCAGCCATCTGTTTTAAAGCACGAAGTGCGACATAACGATAGATCTCCGTGATAATGAAAAGTTGAAACGCATAAACATCTATTAAAGCGAACGGCGCGCGCTCTTAATCATTCTCGGTTTTTTCTTAGTCTCGCTTCTAGAAAATGACGGAGGCTCGACTAATCCTGAGTTAACAGTAACTAACAACGTGAAAACGATCTTACGAGTTATTATAACGTCGCCCGGTGGCAACAATAAATCAGAGCAGGGCACAGGAGAGAAAAAAAAAGTCGATTATCCCGAGACCGCAGTCAGTAGATCAAATTGCTGCTTTGCATTTTACTAGATTAGCTTATCGAGAAAAGGTTATTTTACCTTTTCTCGCGGCTTCCTTAGGCTCTTACGGTGCGATTTTCCCGGAATTTTGTGCACGGTGGAATATCGAATACGCGACGCAATGTAAGCTAATTAAGCGTTACATCATTACTGATTCGCGCGAGAGACGAACTAGGAAGCGTGATGATGCGCTCGGGGATAAATTTAGCGGCGGCTGCGATTTCAATTTCAAATCGAACGCGTTTTGTTCGAACGCGATTTGACGCTCGTCCTGGCGAGTCATCGTTCCCGCGAGTCCACGTCGAACATTCTTCCGGATAATCTACGAGCGTGATCTCAATTTCAAATCGAACGCGTCTGAGACATTTGTCGTCTCGGCAAATCATCGTTCCCGCGATTCTACATCAAGTATACTTCAAAATAAGACGCCGATACTGCCGAGGGGTATCTCGATCTCGCCGGACGAGACGGGTCGCACTGACGATCGACAGAGCGATTTTCCCCGCGAGACACGTTGTTAACATGCGAAAGATAATTAAGCGCATAATTATCATACGTTATTGCAAACCGAATTAGATTGAACGATAAACCGTGCGATTAGCCGGGGAATTAACGCGCGCGCGCCTGAGCACACGCCATGATTATTGTTACAATTATGCGAAGCCGTGAGCTCGCAAATTATGCATTGGGAAATCTTGCGTAACGACCTGTTCACTTTTCATTAACGCGCAACTAGTTTCTTAACCTTTGCGGCTCGTTCTTATGCCAGTCATCTTCAGACGCGTCTCGATGCCGACCGAGAGACTCTCCCATCCGAGGACGATGAAAATTCTCCGCCGACGGCGCGTCACGCTTCACTCACCGGCTTGTTTTTCCCGGGTATTTTTCTAAGCGGACACTCGAAATTTACGCCCATAATATCCACGTCGATATTCAGAGCCAAAGGTTGCGTTCACCGCAGAAAGAAGCGCGCGATGGGCGCTTCATGATTGTCGTTTGCGACTGAAGCATTCTTTTAGATTCTCGGTAGATCCACGGGAATGTACCAATAAGGAGTAATAATCGTTACGCGCTCACTGAACTATTTCTTCTGCTGAACGTAGGTAATGATCGTATTTGATCCTTCTTTTTTTTCTCCCCTTTTCATTTTTTTCCGACAGCAACGTCTCTCGAGTCACGAGAGAGCTTCGCTGGAAATTGGTTGCGGTCTCGTGACCGTTCGTAACGCGTGTACTGAAAAGGAGAAAACCTTCGGCGGTATTCATTTTTACGGAATCACCTCTCTCTCTCTTTCTCTCTCTCTCTCTCTTTCGTATTTTTCTGTTCCCCCGCCTCGAGTCCAAAGTTTATACGTGTAATTTGTCAGAGCTCCGTCCGGCAGCTGAAGCGTCTCTCGGAAAAAGTTAGATTTCAGCTCGCTCGCTCCGCCCGATTCGTTCGAGCAAGTTGCACTCGCGCGACATTACGTCGTCGTCGTCGTCGTCGACGACAACGACTAGTACGCGCCCAAGCAAGAACCGTCGTTAACCCCCGGGCGTAATTAACGATTTCAGACTACAAGAAGTCGGCGTGCGACCGTGAGCGCACGAGAATGCGCGACATGAATCGCGCATTCGAGATGCTGCGATCGAAGTTACCGATCTGCAAGCCGCCCGGCAAGAAGCTCTCCAAGATCGAGTCGCTGCGCCACGCCATCACGTACATAAGACACCTGCAGAGTCTGTTGGAGCCGCAATACGGTTACACGATGCCCACCGTGCCCGGCGAGCGATCTGCAGGTGCCGGCGGCGGTGGAGGAGGCGGTGCTGGCGGTGGCGGTGGCTACTATGCGACCGCTCCACCAGCTCCGCCGACACCCTACGAGGTGCAACATCCTGGCCGATGGGAGTCCCTGGCGTACTACCGATACGATTACCACGCGCCGCCCTTCGCCACCCCGTCGCCGCCGACTCTGGTGCCACCCCCGAGGTTGCCGATCGACCAGGACGACCGACAGTTTCCTTATGAGACGAGACATTAGTTCGCAATGTCGACCAACGCCTTCACTTTTCTAAAACGGTTTTTCTAAAGAACGTCCTACTAGCGATTGCCGATTGAATTGCAATTGCGATTATTCAACCAATCAAAGCAAAGCAGCTATCGATTGAGATTAATGACTGCTATTTAGAAAATGTTACTTCCTGTAATCATCGACCGCAATTAAATCGGTAATTACTAGTGTAATTTGACTTTGAGGAGACGACCTGCAGACTGCTGCGAAGGATTCGAAGACGTCGGGCAAATTGGACGATTGTGAACGTGTGAGTGAAGCGAAAAGAGAGGAATGTGTGCAAGTGTTAAGCTTAATTATTTATAGGGGCCGAACTAGCTGTTTCTTAATCTCTTTCTATTTCTCTCTCTCTCTCTCTCTCTCTCTCTTCACCACGCCGGGATACATATCATTTCCGCGAAGTCATTACTCACTGGAGAATAGAACTCTCTTGGAAACCATTATTCCGGATACCGGTAATCCCGCCGACAGGAAATTAATGAACGACGTGCGTCGCCGTTATCGATGCACTTCGTGATTGCTACTACGGAATTCCGTACGGATCGTCGCGGTCGCAAACGATGCGCGAAAACGAACGACCCGGTCTCGGCGATCATCAAACGTGATTATATTCTGTCATCGACTTACCTCGCACTTGTAGATACTTAAATACACGAAAATATATCTTTTTCCTTCGCGACGGCAATTGCAAACACATGGATGCGAACTGTGTTCAGTCGTATCGCAGGGAGTCCGTTTATCGTACTGCGACGTTGCTCTCTGTAACGTGTCCATCGTCGAAACGTCCTAACGATGCTCTTAAATCGCACTTAAAACATTGCACTTAACGCAGCTACTGCTGCAGTGGCTAAATAACTATGTTATATTTCGTCTGCTGGGCCGTGTTGGGCGGCGTGGTGGTGGGATGGATGTGCAATGGAAGGTCCCAAATCATCGTTTCGACGTCCAACGTGGGCGGCCCCGCCCAACTGATGGTGCTGCCGCCCGGCATTTCCACCAGCTTCGGCGTCGTGACGAACTCGAAGTGCAGCCGCCATTTGAGCGTCACCAGATCGGTGGTGAAGTCAGGCGTGACGTGTAGCGGTATAGGCAGCACCAAGTGCGAGTACTTGAGGCCCAGGCACATCTCGTGGTGCTTGTTGTAACTGACGAGGGTGGGTGCGGTGACTTTGCCGCGCCTGTACTCCTCGGAAACGTGTTCCTCCGACTGCAGGGACACGGACACCTGGGCGCACGACACGGTCGCGTTCGAGAAATCGAACGTGCCGACTATGTCTTCGCCGAGCTTGTAGGAGTTCTTGAAGAGACAGAATCGCACCACGCGGCCGCGGCCGTTCGTCACGTTGTAGAAATTCGGGCTGCGTCTGGCTGTCAAATTCTGCGGTTGAGGAACGCATGATTGAGTTAGGACACGATGTAAGAACCTTGAAGAATTTCGAATTCGATAAGTACGAGAAAAATGCGGAACCTGCAGCGTTTGCAGAGCGATATCCAACGGAGTCTCTCTGTGCTGCGTCTCCATGAACGGATTATTCGGACTCAGATCCACACTGTCGTTGCACGCCATTATCTCTGGCAATTCTGTAAAACAGGAGCAGCAGATATTAAATATTCTGTCATTTATGTAATAAAATTTATTATATAGCTTCTTTTAAAATCGTGGCTTTAACATTCTATTATTAAATGCAATCATATTTATTGTCAACTTGAATGGAACCTCACTAGAAGTACATTGTATTCAGATAAATAAATAAAACGATATTTTCTATTTAAGATACCGAGACTCACCACTCAACGACAGCACTCTGAAAGGTACACGTAACAGTTTTATAGCTGTGTTCACTCTTTGCGTCCCAATTGTGATCTTGTAAGAATATTTTACAGCTTGCCCTCTGTATGAAGGTGGAGCATCACTCGGTATTGTTTCGCGATAGATATCTATCAAATATTTTTTATATATGCAACAAAATATACATGAGCTGTATAACAACATATCACTACTGCTGGAACTTACAAGTTTTACTTTCACCGGGTGACAATCTTAAGTCACAAAACAAGATCTTTGGCTTTGTATTCAGTACCACATGCCCATTGTCTTGCTGCCATGGTGCAAATGTAGTATCTGCAGCAAGATAATATAAATGCATATATTTGTACATATCTCACTAAAATAAAGTACGAGAACATCGAAATAAGATTTTTCTGAAGTCGTACTTGCATTGATTGCAACTGAACGAGCAGTAGTGTTTATTTTCTCCGAGAACACCACTTTACTATTTGTCGAGCATTGACAGTGAACTTGTGCACTTGCCCAAGCAAGACTTTCAAACAGATCACTGTAAAAGAAAACATGGATTAACATTGTTAGTATTACAAGTATTACAATGTACTACTGATCGAATTTTGTTGATTAACATACCTGTGGCTTTGTGATATCTGATGTATTGGGTTTGGTGGATTAGTGAAGGTAACCAAACATTCTACAATCTCTCCGGAGAAATATACAGGGCCACGGATGAGTTTTGCCGTGATTTCTATCATGTTGATTTCAGTTAAGCTCCCTTCGAATCCACATATGTACTCACAATTCCGACATGGATCAAATATGTTAGATCCGCTCCTCCCGAATATTCAAGTATCTAAATATGTACACGCGTGTTCTACATGAAACTACTAACTTGTTCATATTGTTCTTCGCGGGAGACATATTCCCATAATTTTTAAATTAAAATGTCCGCTTACCGGGAAATACGGCTTGACCCGAACACAACGTTCCGAGCACAACGGTGCAACCGAGTTGTGATTAATGCTTTTGATTGAGACATTCTTTCAGATCCATGGTAAATCTAAAGGAATATTCCAATAATAAAACGTTCACTCAACTTTCATGTTTCCTGAACGCAGTCGTTGAGATGTCACTACGACCTCGATTTCTTATTATCGATAGCAGCGGCACGTAGCGAGACTTTTCGAATTACATTTTGGAATAATGGCCGACCTGCTAAACCGACCAATGGACTGCCTGGCGCCACCTAATCGTTGAATTTACAGGTCATGAGAAAAGTCAGAATAGAAAACCTCTAGATGTTATTATTTCCTTGACATAACGTTGATCATTCCGCGCCGTTGGCAGCCTTGCGATTCGGTCAACATGGCCGCGTTTCGTGCATTAGTTTCGTTTGACGAGGAATAGAAACACAACTGACTGATGAGACGAGTATCGGATTTGTTCGAGTTCGCGTTTTTACTCTATAATAAAGCGCACCGGCATTAGCATCGTGAATAGGACGATGCATTTCTCGGTGGCTTAGCGTGTGAATTACGGTAAAACATCAAATGCCTACCTGAAATACTGGTCCTTGGAATTACATGTATTTCTTCGTAACTTGCTAAACTTTTGTATATAATACATGTAGATTTATCACTCGAATGTTAGATATCGGTATATTTGTCTTGAATATCACAAATCACAATATTACTCGCAATATCTGTGATCGTTAGATTTGTGCAAACCATCTTGTATATGTACACATGTTCTCTGATTATAGTCATATTTACAGTGTTAATATTATTTTATATCTTCTCTTTATAACATTTCTTCGTGTATTTTTCATCAACAAATAAAATTTGGATAGATTTCGAGACTTTATACCAATGGCAGAAGAAGAGAAAATACTACCTCTTTCAGGTAATATATTTTCTTTCTTTGAATGTTACATATTACTTAGTAGAATTAATCTTCCATTAAATGGCCGTCTTATATGACACGTATAGTGAAAGATGGTACATCCCAGTCAAAAGATGTCTATATGCCAGAAGAACCAACAGCAGATGTCTCAATTTCTTTATTAGACATACAAATGCCTGAGACACCTGAGAGTACCAAAGGCCAGATAAGTGATGGGGATACATCAAGATTAGAGAGTCCTAAAATGGTGAAACCAGTGCTTGGCAAAGTTCAGGCCAAGAAACGATTGATGGCATTTGCTAACAAGTTCAATGTATTAGCAAAACCTCAAGTCAAGAGTAATCTATCTCAGCATTCCATTGGAGCTTTAAAGACAAAGGACAAAATAACGCACGAAGATACAAATACCAACAAATCAAGAAAAAAACCAGGTGATAGAGCATGTGTTTCAATTTAAAGTCATGAATTATTATAGCTTTTAATGGTTTACTGTAAAATATAACCTGAGATATCGAATTCAGATTTAGATTTCTATTAAAAAGTAAGATAGTAAAATATGATGTTCAAAGAATTGTCAAAGAATCTAAATATATATTCAGAAATGTTTTTGTTAAATTACAATATTTAAAAACTTAATCCAATTATTAAAATCCAATCCAATATTAAAAAACTTGATCTAATTATTTTTGTTTGAAATTAACAAAATCCATCTTTATAATCATATAGAGGAAAAAATTCTGGCTATTGAAGAAATTCGAAGGGAGGAATCTAAAAGTAAGATGCTGTTGGCAGAGGCTATGGCAGCAGGTATTAGTTAACAAATTACCTTTGCAAGTCGTACCTGTATAATATCAGATTTTCAATGACAAAAACTTTTTGTAGCAAGTATGGAAGACGAGAATCATACTGGAAAGAATTCATCCAGTTTATTAGAAAATTTGAGACATACAAAGGAAAAAAGTAGACACAGTAAACAAAGCGATTCTCGTAGAGGTACTACTAAATCGATGATGGATCGGAAATATTCGGAAAGGTAAAAAATAGCATATTTTACATTAATAAAAGAGGAAGAATTGTAGCCCTCCATTTACGTTTTATACAACAACTTTGTTAATCAATATTTTAAATTGAAAATTCGTCAAAGTGTTGTTCATTCAATTTTAGACGCAAAGTTATAAAATATTTATTACTTAAGATGTTATTTATAAATGTGACGACACTCAATGTTCTTTCCGACTATCTTCTCCTGTTCTTTAATAACTTAAAGAATCTTTTTTATAAGGCATCGACAACGTGATAAAACAGAAAGAGATAGTTTGAACCGAGAAGTGAAAGATCGGAATGGAAGCATGGATCGATTATCGCGAAGATTATCTCAGGATAGAGAGAAACATAAAAAGAAAGATAAGAAGAAGAAAGATGATAAAGATAGACGAGACAATAGCAAGACAGACATGAGCCGTGACAAAAGAGAAGAGGGAAAAGACAGAAAAGAAAGCGAAAAGGATAAGCGTGAGGACAAAAAGGAAAGGAAAAACAGGACAAAGAGTAAGAAGGAGAGTAGTAAAGATAAGCGAAATGATATTTCTGAAACGGAAGTGGAGAACAAGGACAAGAAGGAAAAAGACAAGGATAATAGGGACAAAGAGAAGGAATTTGTAAGATGTAACTCTTGGGCGGAAATACGAAAATGTGGTTTGTACGTTAACGATATCGTTCACAATAAGAGACGTGATAATACAGAGCGGCCGTTGAGAAATAGGTATAGTACATTTTTAACATGCAATTTCGGAAGTAGGATTCGAGATCTATATATATATATATATGTCGATGCGTTTCAGAACAGGGCAAGATTATTTGCGCTATTTGGAGCAAATGTTAATGCTGAACAATCACCGTCTGAGACGTCACTCGTTGGTAGCCGAGGGGCTTGACGGGCCCAAAAAGTATCCACCCGAATCGGTTAAGACAACAAAACGAGCGAGGGGATCTCAATTGTTATATTGTGAAAATCCACGCACATCACTTTTACTTAGCATCTCACAGCTCCTGCAAGTTGTCACTCCTGATCGTCGCGATAAGATACGAGACATATGCGAAGCGACTTCGCCACGGTAGGATCATGAATATTATCTTTCCCTATCCTTTTCTAGTTCCTTTTGGTTTAACTTTTTCCCCTAGTTTTCCTTTATCTATTCAATTGTGTCATTGCAGGACCGACATGGAGGATCCGGATGTGGTAATGAATAAGCGTAATTGGTATCAGCAGATGGACAGAAACACAAAATACCACAAGGATTCCAAGTGGCAAGTGCAGCTTCCCAGATCGAAGTGGGACAGCGAGGACGAGGAAACGTCGTCTACCAACGTGGCGAAGGAGGAAATCGAGAAACCGATAAACAAATTGCACGCTTCCCTAAACCAACGTAAGTGGAATCATTGTTGGAATATAACACATATGACAATACGAAAGCGTTGAAGTTGCAGAGATAACAAATAGGCCATCTTTTGTTTTAAAAGAAGAGAGATGTTCCACGTCCTCTACTGTAACAGACGAAGACAAAGTCGACAGTAACGTCGAGAGCACCAAGAGAGACAATGAGTCCAGTGTGAAGACAATCGACAACACCACGACGAATGACGAAACTTCAGCGTCTCCTTTACGGCTGGAATCCGCCGGAGATGAGAAATTAGCCTCGGAATACGAGCAATTCATGAAGATGGTATGCACCGACATTCCTTTGCCGACTTCGGTGGCCGAAGTGACCAAGGAATATTCCCCGAAGAAGACTTCTCAGAAATCCATTTCCCCGCGTAGCTATCACGAGTTCAATATCGAATCTAACCTGGAGGAAGACGGCATCGAAATGCCATTGAAGGAGAAGTTCGAGGAGAAAGACAAACTGCAGACGCTCGAGGGATCGATTAAAAGCACGGAATGCGAGGAATCCATTTTGTCGACGGACGTCGACGTTCGAATACAGGTTAATGATAACACTGCACGAGACAAGCACTCGTCTGACAATAACGAGACCGACGACTCCAAATCGGTACCGAGCGATTGGGAGAACGTTAGGATCAAAGTGGAACGAGTGAGCGACGAGAACACGGATTCCAGGGAAATAAAGAAAAAAAGGAAGAAGAAGAAGAAACAGAAGCAGAAGAAAGTGATATCCAGCAGCGACTCGGCCAGCAGTTCCAGTTCCTCCGACTCGGAGAAGGAGAAGAAGAAGAAGAAGCGCAAGCGGAAGGTACTGAACAATTCGTCTTCTTCGGATTCCGACAGCACGGACAGCAGCAGCAGCAGCAGTAGCAGCGATTCCAGTAGTTCGGACGAGAAGAGGAAGAGGAAACGGAAGAAGAAAGCCGGGAAGAAGAGGAAAAAGGCGAGACGCGCGGCGCGAACGAAGAAAAAGCGCAGGAGAAAAATGAGCAGCGATTCCAGTAGCAGCGAGTCCGACGAACGCATGAAGAAGAAAAGGAAGACCAAGAGAAAGGCGAAAGAGGCTAAACAGTTCGACGCGAAGTCTGTTAATAACGGGGACATCAAGGTGATGTCCAAATCGCCTGGCACCATAGCGTCACCCGCGGTGACTCCGGCGAAGAAGATCAAAGAGGAGGTGGTGATCGAGGACACGAGGGTCGAGCAGATGACGCCGGCGCGCAAGAGCGTCAATGAATGTGAGAAGCTGAAGAAGGACAGGAAGGGCAGCAAACCCAACGAGAGCTTTATGGAAGAAGAATGGGAAGTGGATTCCATGATCGCGACGCAGCAGAATGAGGGCGACACATCAACTCAGGAACGCATCGAAGAATTGGAGAAGATGGACGGCTCGAAGAAAGATAAACATCGAAGGAAGCGAAAGCAAAGTCGGGACAACGATGAACAAGACAAGGATAGATTGTCCAAAGACAGTGAAGACGAGAAAGAACGGTCGGACGAGGAACTCGATGTGAAGAGGAAAAGGAGACGGGAGAAGGACTTGCGAAGCAGCACCGAGTTCCTCGCGGACTGGCAGAGAGAGGGCGAGCGGATCACCCAGCAGATGATACAAAACGAGACGCTTTCGAAGAAGTCGGATAAGCAGGAGAAATGGGGAGAGACCGACTTCGACACATTGAACGTGCCGTCTCTGACCCAGCTGGAGAAGGAAGTGTGTCAGAAGCAACTCCTGGCGGACGAGTGGGAAATGGATAGTTTGGAGGCGTTACCGGATCTGAGCCCGAACAAACGGAGGAATAGTCTGAACGCGTCCAAGAAGACGAAGAAGGAGGTCAGATACGACAAGAAAACGGACACCTACATCGCGATAGAGAAGGAGGCCGCGAGGGAGATGAAGAAGAAGCAAGAGCGTTTATGTGCAATAAGGATCTGGGAGGAGGAGCAAGAGGAGGGCGAGAGGGAGGAGATGATGCTTCTGGAGCAGAAGAGCAAGCGTAAGAGAGACGACTGGGACATCGAGGAGGAATCGTTCCTGTGCAAGGGCGGCGAGGTCGTAGAAATCTGCAAGGTGGACGAGATCCGCAAGGTGGACGAGATCACCAATGTGGAGAAAGAGTGGAACAAGCTGGACGAAGACAAGAGCGCCAGGGAAGACGCGAGTGAGTCGATGATTAAGCTTGAGCCGGTCAGCTCTAAACGAGTGAAGAAGAGCCGTTGGGACATGGGCTCGCAGTTGGAGGAGAAGCTGGAGACTAAGGATATGTGGGAGGAAGAGTACGTCGAATGGCCCAAGCTGAACAAGTGCGAACAGAAGCTCGAGAAGACGGAGGCGATCCCTCGCAATGTAGATTATTCGGGAGACTCCTCCAAGTCTGACCTGATGGATTTCTACAACAGGAAATCACAGAACAGAGAACCGCTGGAGAAATCATGGACGGCGGAGGAAGTGGCAAGCAGGTCGGTGCAAGTGAAAAAAGCGGAGGAAAACGCGTCGGCGAAGAATCTGATCATCCTGACTCCGAGCGAAGAGCAGATGGGATCCATCAAGAAGGAACAGCGGAGCAGAGATCAGTTTAAAGAGATTCTGGAGTTGGATACGAAATTCAAGGAGAAGACCATAGAACTGTACAGTCCCAGCTCGCCGGCGCTCTCTCAGAAGTCTCAGGTAATCTTGCTTATGTATGAACTCTTATTTTACAATTTCATCTTTATAGTTTCATCTTTTAAAGTGAAATAACTTTTCACCCAGGCTCTAAATTACTTTCAAACTTTTGACGTCACTTTTAAACGCAACGATCAATCAAGAGTGTTTTCACAATTTTCTCATTATTTTGACTTATGGATGATGCATCTTTAACCAACCGTTTCCCTCGTCTCGCAGGATGTGGAAGCGTCTAACGACAGTAGCTGTTCCAATTCTTCATTGCGCAAGAAATTGAGGAAGGAGGCGTTGGTCGTCGAGGAATTGTCGATACCTACCACCGGTATACCCTTGCATCTGACGAAGACATTGCGCGACGCCAAGCATCCGGCGAACGAGAAGATCGAGGATATCTTGGACACGGAGCGTAAAGTGTCTCCCCACAAATTCGACATCAAGAAGGTCAACGATTTATTCGACGACTTACCGATGATCGAGTCGTGTCCGGACTCTCACGGGTCCAAATCTGCGCGCGTGGATATCTTCGCGGAATACATGCCCGAGGGATCGAAGCAACAGCCGCGTGTCTCGTGCTCGACGGCTCTCGTCAAGGACGACGAGGTGATCGACGAAAAGACGGCGGCGCTCAAACTCATTCCCAAACAGCTGCTGATCCGACGACCCGCCGAGCCAGTGAAAGCCAAACACGTGTTGGAGACGCCCTTGCAGGATCCCGCTCAGCACGCAGCGGCCCTGCTGACAATACAGCAGAAACTGCTCGAGTCCCACGCGCTGAAGAGCGGCGACAAGGAATCGCCAAAATCATGCAGCACGGTGAGCAACAGTGAGACCCACATGACCGACAAATTGTTAGACCGAAACGAGTTCGACGTCGTTCCCAAATCGGCACTGATCGAGACGCGACGTTCGCGATCTCCGCCGTTGGAGAAGCCGACTGCCGTCCGGCCGGAGCAATCTGAGAACTACGACAGGGACAAGAACGTGGACGCAAAGAGGTACAAGAGCAGTCGAAGTCTGAACGACACTGCTGCTCAATCGAGCGTGCGATCTCCCGTACGTGAGCAGAGGAAGAGAAGTCCGCTTAGCAGGAAAGAGAGCGAGAAACGGTACTCGCACGATTACAACAAGGATAGGAAGGAGAGGAAAGCCGACGACGCCGAGAAGCCCGATCGAAGAGACAGTCGTAGTTCCAAGACGGACTTTGCCGACAGCCGCAGAAGAACGAGTTCGCCGTCACGAAGCAGGAGAAAGAGGAGCGGCAGCCCGTACACCTCGTGGGAGCGGCAAGGAAGCGGGAGCGGCAGTCCTGGGCATAGCTGGAGCCGCAGTCGTAGCAAGAGCCCGAAGAGGAAAGACGAGGGTGTCGGTCCCGCGAGCTCGCGCGACCGGGAGAAGAAGCGAGACAGGTACGACGACGAAAGGCCAGGCAGATCCAGGACGGATGAGAGAAGAGAGAGATACACACGGTCTCCGCCTCGCTCTAACTATGACGAAGGTAAAGGTGTAAACCGCCATAGTTTCTTGATATTCCAGCTAGCTCGCGTTAGGCTGCGTTCGGAAATATCATCTTGAGGGTGGAGCAGAGTGAATGGTGGTGAGGGTATTCATTCCGAATGTGGTGATAGTTTTTGAACACGTCAAATAATATCAAAGATCTCTGGGGATCGCATATTGGCTGGTTATCCTTCGCCAGTACATGATTTTTGGTGTCTTGGACAAATTCATACGCTCCATTGCCATAGTTTTTAAAATATTTCACATGGGAAATACCATCTAAAGTAATGCAACACAGGTTGCTCGAGCATTCTCAACTCTAGAATACTACACTCGAGTATACCATGCTATTTCTTTATAATGAAAGGTAGGGGATCGTAATTGGAGAGGGAAAAACGAAGTTTTTCCCTCCATGCCTCCCCATGCTGTGCGCAGCCCCAGCTGTTATTTAATAGATGTAGGGGATGCCATTGAAATCGTCATAACGTGTACTACATCCATATGATACAGGTGTGTCATAACATTGTCTCTTATTTTCTTTTGAGTTACATCCTTTATCTTTAAAAAGTGACTGTTCCTTATATAATACGGCTTTATAGAAAAACTGTAGTTCTTTTTTGAGCACATAACGTTTTTGTGACTAAGAAATTTCTATTCAGGTTTTTTGCAAAATTAATTGTTCTTTTCGAACATCATAATTATAATAGCCCAGGCATCTTTCTGCACATTTTGGCGTTTAAATTAAATATAAATATGTTTAAAAAATCCACTTTTCAAAGAATAATTAATAGTTGAAAGTAGCTAGGTGGCGTACACGAAATATGGTGAAATCGGGGAGTGTGTGAAATTCTATGTAAAACTTGAAATTTGTACAGTAACTACCAACATAGGGTAAATAACTGGTAAAAATGAGATTGTCTTACAGTGGTCGAGCAATCATAATCCATAATTGTATCACATGAGATGGATTTGCCCAAATGAAATAAGTCACCTGCACCCACTGTGAAATTTCAAGGTGGCAAATTTTCCTCCTGAAATCCTACCCAGTAACAGAGTTACCCGAAGGGTGTAGGCTTCGACAGATGCACCTAGGTGTAGTTCCCGAACGTGGCCTTCTCCGACTAATCGTCCGACGTTGAACTGTTTTTGCAGATAACTTTAAGAAGCACGGTCCGAAGAGCAATCGTGAGGATTGGGGCAGAAGGGGGCACGACAGCGTGGACAGGGACCGCGAGAAAGACAATAGGTCCTACAATCCGATGGTGAAGCTGCGGGAGAGAATGGAGTCTGACAAATACAGAGACAACAGGTGCTGATGGTTTCCGTTTAATCTAGTAACTAGTAGTCTGCTGAGCAGCCTCCTGCGCATCGGACGCACCGTTTTATCTTGCAAACCTCAATCCCTTTCTACTCTTACGTGATAAAAATTGCTCAGCTTCTTACAGACACTAAAATTAAGTATATACGCAAGGGAGATATCAGCGCATTTACTAACATGAAATAAACACGGCTAGATTCCGCACAGAGGGAGAAGTGGATCGGACCTTTTGGCAATACGAGACCGTCAGTCTTGCACGAGATGGTAACGAGTCTATGGATTCCTACGTGCAAGACACGCCGTCCGAATACAACGAACGACCTTACTACCAAGAAGGCAGTTTAGAGAGAGAAACAAGGCAGTGCTCGCCGCAGTCGGCGACGAGATACAGAAGGAGGTATTCGTAAGTTGTTATTAGCTGCTTTGTCGTGTGCTAAACAGCTAACAGTCGTACGTGCGAATAGTCTGAGCATTCTACATGATGATGATGGTGTCTTTAATCCGTCAGTCAAAGCAGACACAGCGCCAGGAGAGAACGACCATGGGAGAGGGACAAAGATTCCACGGACCTGGACCGTCACGGTCATCCCGTGCACAACAGACTGGACCAGCCAAGAAGCCGAACACCGCCGCGTACGAGACTCTCGCCCGCGAGACAGCCAGCGGAACGGTTCCAACGACAGTCGAGGTCGCCATCTAGGACGTGGTCGAGGTCGCGATCTCGATCTCAATCCAGGTCAAGCTCGCAGTCTAGATCTCGTTCCAGATCAACGTCGAGGTCAAGACTGAGAAGGATAAGATCGAGGTCGAGAAGTCGGTCTCGTTCGAACTCTAGGTCGCGGACGAGATCGTCCTCCACGTCGAAACTGAGAAGCCCGGAGCACGGATTGAGACTGTCGGAATTGCGGTCTTCCAGGTAGAGTCTCACGCGATTCTCGCGCGAACTTCGGTATCCTTTCCGCGGTTTCAAATCAGTCGTTACTTCGCGCACAGATCTCCTTCGCCCGGAAGAGGTCGATTTAGCGAAATAGGAAGGGAAAGGAAGGACGAGGGCGATAACCGGAAGCTCAACGTCTGCAACGAAAGGGGTAGGCGTATAGAGACCATCGTGCAGTCGGGAGCGAACGTCCTGGACTCGGAGATGGGTATTAATAGTAGTATAGATGGCTCCGTCGCGAGCTTCCAATATTCGAACGAGATCGAGGGCAGAAACGACTATTACTACACGGAGAATAATTTGACCTACCCGCCTTGCGTGGACGAGTCCGCCACGAATTCCCCAAAACGTTTGTCGCTCGACGATAGGTGAGCGTTTCACCGTCAACTTCTCTCCAACCGATTATTCAGGCTATGCATCGTTAGATGTGTTAGTAGAATAGTTAATTGGTAATTTTGAGACGATATTTTATGCTTCCAAATTTTTGTCTGAATTATTACTTTTTTTACTCTCTTTTCTTCTTTTTTTTTCATTACAGCGGTTTGTCATAAATCACAAATAGAACGGTTTTTTTAATTTAAGACTGCAAATACAAGATAATCATTGTGCGTGATTTAAGACGATATTTTATGCTTCCAAATTTTTGTCTGAATTATTACTTTTTTTACTCTCTTTTCTTCTTTTTTTTCATTACAGCGGTTTGTCATAAATCACAAATAGAACGGTTTTTTTAATTTAAGACTGCAAATACAAGATAATCATTGTGAGTGATTTAAGACGAAAATTTGAGGTACAAAAACATTGAGGTACAAAACATTGTGAACCGATAAGTCGGCTATTCTGTTAAGGCTCTTAAGAAAATCATTTCCGCATAAGACCGGTCGCATTATATGAAAAACGATAAATCCTAATATCGCCCGGTGTAATTTACAGATTAGAGTTAGAATTAGGAATTAAGAAGCAGCAAAACAAGGACGCCACTGGAATATCTTCCGAGTACTCCTCCGGTTTTAACTCCATAGCATACCCGTCTCCGCCGCAACAGCAACAGCAGCAACTGATGTATCGTCAGCAGCCCACTGTTTTGCAGGTATTCATCCGATCAGTACATAGATTCCTCATCATTTATCAAGAGCTATAAATATCATTTGAGTTCAGAAAAGGGAGAGACGTTTGTGAGAGCTCATCGCAAGCAGCCACGAATTTTGAGCCCTTAATAATTGCGTTCGGCAAAGGAAGAAAAAGCTCGGTCGGCGCTTAATAACTATTGTTCGTGACTGGAGTATTCTTTTAGATTCTTGATAAGTCCAAGAGAATGTACCAATCAGGAGCAGTGATCATTAAGCGCTGAGCTGCTCTTTCTGCTGAAGGCAGGCGATGCAAACGCGATACCGTTTTCCATGTCCAGGTCGGCAACGTCTTGCAAGTAGTGCCCGCTGACTTTAATGGAGTACAGTCGGTGCGCCGCGAGGTGTCTACATCCGGGAGTACGTCGACCATACGCGGATCCAGTCAAGTAGTGCGTGTAGGTAACGTTCTACAAGTAGTACCCACGTCGTTGGACTGGAGTAGCGGTGGCAACGGCGGTGGCGGCAGCAACAGCAGCAGCAGCGGCGGCACCGTTCAATCGTCCTCGTGCACAGATCAGTCCAGCGGGGTCTTGTATTCCCCAGCAGCAGTGTCGGCACCCTCGTCGGCTGCGACTTCCTCCTCGATGCCCATCTCCATACCAGTTCCCGTGCCGGTCCCGTTGCCCGTGCCGCCGGCCACCGGTGTCCCTGCCGCGACCATGTCGCCAGCTGCCTCACTGCCGCTCTCGTTACCGGTGCCCGTGCCCGTGCCAGTCCCGATCCCCACGGCGACGACGTTTCCCCCCAGGAACGAGGCCCAGCCACCAAGTACGTATGCGCACGTGTGTTGTTTCTGTATATTCCAGCGTCTCGAACGCGAAAGGCTCTCGTCTACAACGCGGTCGGTGGAATTGGAAGTCAGGGTTGCCACAGACAACCCTGTGGACAAACCGGGAAGTCATGGAAAAGTCAGGGAAAGATATAAGAAAGTCGGGAATTTTGAACTTTCCTCACAATTCTCTTAAATGCTCTTAAGTGTATTCTTTCTTCCGATTACTCATTTATCATTTGCTGGCCTGCACTCGGGATTATATTATGTTATTGAACTTTTCAGTTTTGTGTTGCTTCTAATAATATAAGCCGTCTTTCTTGCAATCCTTGCTTCTAAACGTTAAAGATTAAGATTACGTATTGCTCCTGAAACATTCTCAACCGTCGCCTGGAAAACATGGAGAAGTCGGAGAATTTCATATTCATTTTCTGTGGCAACTCTGGAAGTTGGTCGATTCGAGTGACTACGACCACACAGTAGACGAGCCCGCAGAAGTATTACGAACGAGAATCCTTGCCTTTGCAGAAATTGCTCAACCGGTGTACAATTACGAGGCTATCCTCGAGACCCGTCGCAAGGAGCGAGAGGAACGCAAGAGACTGCGTGAGTTACGCAGGAAGGAGAAGGAGCGCAGGAGGATAGAGCGTACAAATCGACGAGCACTGCGTCTCCTGGAAAAGAGCAGCATGCTCGCGCGACAAACGCCCGGGGCCTCGTTGGATCGCCGCAAGGGCTCAGTCGTGGACCCGTCGGTGTTGAAGGCGCTTCACGAGGGAGAAGAACAAAGTGAAACCGGATCCCCGTCAGGCAACGCTGGGAAAGATGAAGAGGAGGCGGCGGCGACGTCTACGCCGGGACCCTCGGAGGAGGACGAGGACGTGGCTGCTGATGAGGATGAAGACGAAGATGAGGATGAGGCCGAGGCCGAGGTTGAAGATGACGAGGAAGAAGAGGAGGAGGCGGAGGACGAAGATGATGAGGATGATGAGGACGACGAGAAAGCGACGCAAGCGAGCGGTCTGCGAGCAGATGCTGACGAGATGGCGACTGCGATGTCCGCTGACGCCGGTAAAAGTCAGGTGGAACTTGAGAATAAAGGAACTTTCCAGTTGCCCCCTGCGCCGCTGAAAGGCATTCTGGTCGCATCGGGCTTCAGGTTGGTCAACGTTAGCCTCAATAACCTTAGGTTTCAGGCTTAACGTTCGAATTGTTGCGAATTATCCGCTTTTCTTTCAGGGACACGGTTTCCAACGGCAACGTGGACGATCTGTCGGAGGCGGACGGCGACACCGAGGACGGTAGCGACAAGGACGAAGAGGCGGAGAAGGATAACGAGCATGACAAGGATGCGAACGCAGACGATAAGAGCGCTAAGCCGCGATCCAAGTCAAAATCAAAATTGGCAAGACTGCCGAAGAAGAGGAGTAAGAAGTCGGTTCAATTCGCCGACGGCATTAAGCCCGGCGAAGGGACCAGTCCCAGCGGCGGCGAGGGCGACATGCCTTCCCCGCCACCTCCTACAGCGATAGGCTTCCGTGACGAGCTCAAAGATTTGAGGAGAGACAAGATGTACAGCTCTCGAAAGAGCAGGAAGCAGGAGAAGCGGGTGAGGCCGCCGAAGACGAAGAAGAAGGTCAAGGTACGCCCGTTTCCGCGAATTCACAGAATATTGTGTATCGATTTGTCCGTCGTCACTTGAAATATGGATTTTCCTTGCAGGTGAAGATAATCAAGCTGAAGAAACCGCGCATCACACCGCTGACGGCCATGATGATGGACGACTCCGACGAATTGGACGACCGTTCGCCACCGCCGCCGCCTCCTGGCTCTCCGCCGCCTCCACACCTCTGGCCCAGTTACCTGTCGGCTTACAACACGGCGGTTCGAGCCGCCGAACCACCGACGCAGAACGCGACCCCCACGTTGACACCGGTTCAAGCTCCACCACCGCCAACTCCGCTGCCCCTTCTGGTGCCGCCTCCTCCGTTAAACTACACCATTCAACCGTGCAGTAAAGCTTGAAGCCAGCCGTCGCGAATCCGCGAGGTGTTTCGAGCGTGTATTTTTCCCTATCATGAAACGTACGTTGATACGAGACGAATAAATTGTAATGAATCACTTAACTTAAGAAATGTATATTGGTCTCAAGAAATCGTAATTTCGATTTTAACTACTGGAGTCAGAGGAGAGGCTACCGAGCATGTGTCGACAGCCGACATTGTAAATACGTAATCATCGCAATATAGACGTCGCTCTCCGACCAAAAGATTGTTGTAAACCTTTATCCATTGCGTCCGTAAGTTTTAGTAACTTCACACCGACAATTCGGTTCGTATATTTTCGATATCGGGGAACGCCGAATTATATTATTAGAAGGTCGTACCGGCAATGGATATAGTGTAATTACTCGTCGATTATGTATCGTTGACAGGATTTATTCTAAGTGAGCACATTCTTATACAATGTATGTACATTGTATTATAATAATTCGTCACAAATACACGTGACTCGAATACGAATAACGTTGAATATTTAGAGTTAGACAACAACTTTTTTAGACCGCAACTTTCTTCTGTTATCCGTTGAATATTTAGAAAATATTTGGTCAGCTCTGAAAACGTTACGATGGCAAGTCGCGAATAAATTTTATAAAAAAACAGTAACTATATACACATGTACGTACGGTTTCACGATCTTCCATCCTTGAGAGCACTTTCGAAATATTTTCTAAAATATACAACGTATCACGGAGCCCCTCCGTGATAACATTGCACTTTATCACTGAGCACGTGACACCGACGTGTTGATTTTTCTACCGAGATGCACACAAATCTTGCGTAATTTCGTTGTCACCGATATAAACGTCGCGCATCTCAGTCGGTAGCCGTTATCGCTTTCAAGAATTGGCAATTGTTAAACGTCAGTGCAACGCCGAACGACGGTTCACTTTGTTCGACAACTGCGCGTTTCGTTTTGTTCAAAGTGCAAAAATGAAAGTAGCCGTCGTGGGCGGTGGGGTCGTCGGTTTAACGACGAGCTTATTATTGCGTCGGGAATTACGTAACGCCGAAGTGACAGTTCTAGCTTCGGATTTCGATGATACCGTCAGCCACGTGGCCGCGGGAATTTTCAGAGTCGGCGCTTCGTATTCCGGCCCTACCGAGCGGATAACAAGGTAAACAATGAGTATCTGCGCATCGTATCATCGAAAGATAAATCAATATCTTGTAGCAAATTCGATCACCCACGCGATGCATGCTAAAGCCTGTTATACATGAAGCAGTTATTTAAATAAAAGTTGTTCAGGATTTAAGCATTTTGAACGATGAAACACTGATCTTTAATATTGATATTGTAACGTTAGTAGAATATATATATTAATTATTTCATCGTCAAAACGCATATGTTACGCTATTTAGGTATTTGGATTCTTTATGCATAGCGACCTTTGGCATGCACTAATCCCGCATAATAGTAGTTCGAGTGATCGGATTCGCTATTGGAAAACAATCCTTTTTTGACCGTTTATAAATCGTTACGAAGGAAAGCTCCATATATACAGTCGATTGTAATAGTGTAATAAATATATATTTATAATCAATTATATCTCTTTCGAGACAATGGATAAGAGATTCGTACGAATATTACGATAACATTCGCAAGTCAGAGGAAGCCTCTCACGCGGGCGTCATTGACATTGCCGGCTACATGTTCGCTAATTCATCCCCGAGCACCGTCGAGGTACGTCTTGTTCGGGAAATCATTATCATCACGTGACGTTCCTTAATCATAATAACACGTGGATAATGGGATCGGCTAGAATCACTGGATCGAGGACCTGGTGCCGATCTACAGAAGAGCGACGGAGGAGGAACTGCGGCTGGTCGGCGGCGATTGGAAATACGGATCGTATTTCTCGACTCTCCTCACGCAGTGCAGCTTGTATCTCCCATGGGCTAGACAGCAGTAAGTTGTACGTAGGGCAACCACGAAGAGCTTCTGTAGCTTGAACGTTACCCGGCAGATTGCAAGCGGACGGCGTCACGCTGCGACGAAGGAAGCTGCGCTCTCTCGACGAGCTGGCCGGCGAGTTCGACCTGGTGATGAACTGCAGCGGACTTGGCGCGCGCGAATTGTGCAATGACAAACGCATGGTCTCTCTGCGAGGTCAAGTGATCAAGGTATAGCGTTGTTTCTCGTTCGTGTACACGCTCTGAGCACGAAGAATCCATGTTTGCGTTGTCCGTGCAGGTGAAGGCACCGTGGATCAAGACGTTCTTCTACGGAGAGCTCGACACTTACGTCATACCAGGTTGCCACAGCGTCGTCACTCTGGGCGGGTCGCGCAGCTTCGACTCCGAAAACACGAGACTGTGTCGGCACGAGTCCGCGGCGATTCGCGAGAGATGCGACGCGCTGGTGCCGTCGTTGCGGCACGCCGAGACTGTGCGACAGGAGGTCGGCCTCCGGCCGCACCGGGAAGGCAACGTTCGAGTGGAAGCTGATTTTATGCGCGATGGTCGCTCCAACCGAGTGATCGTTGGTATCCGAACTTGACGAGAAAAAGACGATCGGCGGACCTATCAACGTACGTTTCTCCTTGCAGGTGGTGCACAATTACGGACACGGCGGCTACGGGGTCTGCACAGCACCCGGCACCGCCATGTACGCCCTCCGGTTGGCTGTGGACGCTCACAAGTCTTCCACCGCCAAGCTGTAAACCGGCTACGTTTCTCGCTCGATATGAAAAACATTTCTTTCTGCAAATTCATCTTTTATTAACCGAATTTACATTACGAAAGAGTTGTCAGAGAACGATCTAATACTGCGGCGGTTTCCGTCTGCTTGTCGAAATGCACTTACAATTCAGGACTTGCACAGGCCCATTGTCACGAGTAAGATACACTTCTTTACCGATAAATAAAGGTCGCTGTTTATTAGCGAAGAGAGATAGAGAGAGAAAGAGAGAGGTATACAATTCTCTCCGCCATCGCAAACTATGTATGTTCCTTTCGAGACGAAATAATTCTAATAGTTCATCAGACTTTACGAGAGTTACACTTCCTCGTTATTTCGTTAAAGTAAACATTGTCGTGTTAAGCGCACCGCGTGCTGCCTATCCGGCTGGTTACCTCGCGAGATGCACGCGGGATGATAAGTCTGATATTGATCGTGTTCGTGAATCCATTACCAAGTGGCTAATAAACTCGTAAAACGTCACCCACGTGAATCATCGTGTTCGATCAGTCGTGAGCGTCAACAATATCGCCAAAGTGATTCATATCACCGAATGTAGAGAATGACCAACGCGTCAACTCGCTGCTGCTACTTTTTGCCAGGTTTCACGTTTTTCCGAGGCGGTGCGCCCCACCTCAACGCGGTGCTGTCGACTGTGAGACGCGGCCTCTTGTATTGGCTACTCTTTATATGCTCCTCTACAAGCTTAGGCGTGACGCAGATGACGTGCTGTCCTTTCCAGTACTTCACCATGTTCATGCTCTGTAACGTCGATATGATGTCGGTTTGGGAGATGCTGGTCATTTGGCTGCAAATCGAACCAATCATTAATATGAATTCAGTTGTTAATTCATTCAGAAGATTTTACCATGTCTGTTAAAAAAAAACTGATTGTTAGACACTGAGATTTTTAATACTAAGATACCTGAGATCCTTAATACTAAGAGTTCCCCTGAAATCTCGAAGAATTTCCAGTAAAATCCAGCTCCAGTAGCTGCGGTATGAGAGCTTCCCCAAGTCACTCAAAGGTTTCTCCGGACTACCGACAGTTTGTTCAATTCTGCTTAGTTCATAGCTAAAGGCTATCAGCAATTTGCCGTAGCCTTGTCTTTGGAAGGGTGGCAGAGTCAAGATGCACGCGACGTTATTACCGTCCGGCGATTCTTTCTCCTGGATACAGAAGAGGTTTCGTATGAATATATGACGTGCGAGATTTTAAATAAATTTTATAGCACTAGAAACGATTCAATACCTTTGAAAAATAACCGACTAAGTGCGCCCCGTGTTTGTCCACCTCGCACAAGATATAAAAAAGAAACGGTTCCACGTCGAAGTAAAGCGTCTTATGGTCGAGAAACAGTTTCGCCAGTAAGCACAGGTTTTGACAATATATTTTGTGCTCCCTGCCGTCCACTTCCCAGATGCTGAGTGTTCCCTTTCGGTAAATTTCCTTCCCAACTGGCTGTCTATGAGTGCACTCACTCTGAGAAAGAGATACAATGGTTAGAAAAGCATGTCACTCGGCATTATAATTTTATATTAGAAGCAACAAATATTTTGCTGTTTCTATCAAAATATGTTGCTACATATTTTTTCTCTTTGACTTACCATGTGATACCTGTAAGTTTTCTCGAGACGCATATATTTTAAACAATACTCGCATATCCAGAGTTTGGGTTGTTTACCATATTCTTCTGGATAGGGGCTGAAATACCAAGTATCAATCTCGTACTTGCCTAGAAGCAAACTTTTGCACATCATGAGATCCTTTTTGCATTGATGACATTAAAGGGATGTATGGTCCAACAATATTTACCAATTTGTATTCTATCTATGTATTTGACTTTTGTTATAGCCTCGTGTTCCTTCTCCAAGGCAGCTGTGGTAGGATCCATTTCCGCATAAGTCTACAGCAAGCAAGATACAATAAATGTGATGAGGGAACTAAAAAGAATAAAACTATTCATCATAGTGAAACTTCTTAACACAGACAACATTTACCTTTTGTACGTGATTAATCTCATCATGACGTCTCTTTTGATTCCTAGTAATTTTGCGGTCAGAAGAATCAGCCAATAAATCAGATCCTGAATTCCTGTCATGCCGCTCAATCTCACTCATGTCAAATCTGCTTGACATAATCCTATCACGAGGTACCCATTCGTCCAATCTTCTGTTGTGCCCCTCATAGTGAACATAGTATTCATAATGGCTCTCACTCTCATTGTAACGTGTCTGAATAACTTCAGCAGGATCTAAAAGAACACAATAAGATGGTTCAGGACAACATTGACCATATGTACAATAATATGCTCTCACTGATACAAGTCATATATATGATTCTTTATTCAAACTGCTAGAGAATCACTCTGTACAATACTTATTTCATCTAATTGAAGCTTCTACATCACAGCAAAATATAAGAGAACATAAATCCAAGAGACTAATAGAAAGTATTTCTTATAAAATTTCATCAACAAGCAGAGTACACAAAAGTGAACATAGCAACGAGTTCAGAGGGCAAACAGCACGCGGGCCACCAGCAGTTATCTACAATCGTGCTCTTAGGAAACGTTAGGGAAGAAAGGAAGGGCAGGAGCAGGCCTGCTACGATTTACATACGCCAGTCATCGGATCTGCGCACGAGGTAATGCTCGCCTATGTCGAGCGGCATTTCCTCGAGGCTGTCCGCGTCATCGCCCGAGCCCTTCCCGCCATTCGTCAACGTGTTTTCGCGCTTCTCCTGCTTGACCATCGTCGTCTCCTTCGGCGCCGCGTTGCAACCGTCCTTGCTTCTCTGCTCGGATTCGGCCATTTTCCGGCGCTAGCTCACACCATGCCACGGAGAACACATTCGTCGGGAACGCGAAACGCCCAAAAATAGATGAACATTGCGCCTTCTGACGCAACGATCCGCACTGCCACACACGACCGGGAGGACGCGCTCCGACGCGATCGTGACACGCCAATATGGCGTCACGACGCTTCCATTTGGCGCTCAAATTAGTCCTCGCGCGACTCGACTACCCGATTGGCGTACACCTCCGTATCCGAACAGGACACGAACGACGCATGCCAATCGGACGCATCTAGAAATCTCGACGAATGCGCAGCGACGAAGACTAGGGAATCTCCGGTCACGTGATCATTGGCGGAAGTGAAGTGGCGAAAATGCGCGGGGAAGGAGTCACGCCTGATGGTTGGTAGCGCAGTTTCCGCTTGGCGAAGGGGAAAGAGCAGCAGCAGCGTCTTGACTCGTGCACACGAGCCATTTTTTTTAACGTAAGTCGAGAGCGTCGTTATTGCGATTCGGCGAGCGTTAAAGAGCGCGACGGGGCTCGCATCTACGAGAGAAGTCTCTGCACATTGATTCGTTTGTCAATTTCAGTTCCTTTCTATCTTTTTTCTGCATTATCGATGGACACGTCCGTCGGTTACCACGCTACCTCGGAGACGTCGGCGGCTGGAACGGTAATGTACAATTTTTGTAAATTTCCTTCATTCTTCACCCCCTCGCCTTTCTCCCTATCCTTCCTTTCGCCTTTCTCGCGGAATAAGATCGCCACGTTCGCAACGCGTCGTCTCCCGCATTCGGCTCAGAAGCCCGTGTCGAGGGGGGGATCAATAAATTCCACGTTTAACTTCCCGGCGACCCGGGCGATCGAAATCAGCGAGATTTTTCCGCGATATGCGTTGTCGGTCGACAGTATCAGTTTCTGAGCAGTTCGCTCCATGCATATTTCGTCGTGCTGGAACTCTCAAAGTGGGCTCGACTTTGAGACGCCATTTCCTACGCGTCCTCCCTTTTCCCTCCTCCCTCTCTTCGCCCAGCGTTCTTCACGCACTCGGCATTCTGAGGCTCCCGAACTCCTTCCTTCCTTCCTTGGCTTCGATATCTTTTCAAGATGTCGCAGCCGTGTGTAAGAAATATGGCCTTCGCTACGACGATCGGCATAAGTCAAGCGCGCCAAAGGTTGACATGGCGATCGTCGTCGAATGTCATGGGTCATGGAGAGGAGAGGGAGTGACTAGTCACGCTTTGCAGGCGGATTCCTTTGTGTTCCTACGCGCGTCACGACACGCCGCATTTTCCTTACCTGCCACCGAATGATTCGGGAGGAATCATTGATTAAACTTGTGGAATAAGATGAAATAAATAGATGAATATTCTGTAAATCGTCCTCTCATTTACATTATAATTGCACAATTTAATTAACGATTCAAACACGCGCAAATAAATAACTAGAAGTACCTACATAATAATCCTACATAATAATTCTTTCGTAATTTGCAAAATTTGCGTGATTGCTTGTATGAAAGAATTATTTGGTGAAAAATATAATTAGGTAAAGAAATTATTCTGTATCTGTGTAATGTTGGCTGCTTACTAATATATCGTATATGTTTCAGCAGATGGTTTCGACCAACCAGCCGGTAAGATCATTTGATTATTCTTTGCTAATTTTATATGTGTACAAGATCTTGCGGTGTCTTGTACACGTTTCACTTTGTAATGTATCAGTTCACCCTGGTTACATGAATATGGCACATGGCTCAGCATATTCTCCTTATCAAAGTTTCATGCATTATTGTAAGATACTTTAACAATATCTGAGCAACAACAAATCTCAAACAGACACCATACTTTCTATGATGGACGTATGATCAATTCCTGAGATACAAGTCTTTATCTTAAAGATCATAGTTTTATTGAGAATCCTTCGAAACTTCCTCACACTTAGTGAGTCGACCTGATAACAATCATGAAGCCTACATATATCTTACAGAGAAAGACAAAGATATTCGTGGGTCGGTTGCCAGAAAATTGTCGCAACGACGAGTTGCGACAATTGTTCTTGCGTTTCGGCGAGGTGACGGAGTGCGATGTCATGAATCGATACGGTTTCGTCCATATGGCACGGGAGGAGGATGCAGCGGCGGCGATTAAAGCGTTACACAACTCCAACTTCAAAGGTGCGACGATCAACGTGGAACAGTCAACCGGCAAGTCACGCGGAGGTGGAGGAGGACGCCGAGACGGAGACAGAAGAGGTGGACCAATGAGAGGTGGTAGGGGGGGACGAGACGGTGGTAGAGACGCTCGTCCTGGACCATACAATGATAGAAGAGGTACCCATCTCTCTCTACTTAATATTGTATATTCCGACAAGACTATTTTCTCATTTGTTTTCTCAAGTTTTGTATACCCTGTACATATCATTTGATCAGGTACATGTTGCCCTCTTTCTTTTTGTAATTTTTTTTTTTTTCATATTTGATGTTTCTTTCGTTGTCGTTCTCCTCTCCCTCAATATCAATAAGTGTTGTATAAAAAAAAAAAAGGAAATGGAGCTCGATACTTGTTAAATGGATTCGTGACTCTCTCACGACAGACGTCGCGAACATTTCGTTACAGGGCGCGCACATTGAGAAAATAGTATGTTGGAATGAAATGACATAACTTGGAATGTGTGCTCAAAAATCAATTCGACATCTTCGACGTACTTTGCAGTTCTTCCGATCCAACTCGTTGGTTACGATGGATCTGCTGCAGGTGGCGTCGCAACCGGGTACACTGATTACAACCGTGGAGCTGGCGACTTTAGCGGCCGTGGGGCGGACTTCAGCACCGGCTACGCCGACCGTGGGGCATACGGCCAGAACGTGGGTGGCGCGGCGATGGGTTACACCTCAACAGCACCCGGGATGGGAGGTGGATACGGACCAGCAACCGGCGCTGTGGGAGGATATGGGCCGACTGGTGCGGCGGACTACGGACGTACAGCTGACTATGGTCGCGCAGACTTTGGCGCTAGAACAGACTATGGTAATTGCGATGGTGAGTGCGTTCGTGCAACTCGAAAAGTATGTGGACCTGACCGCGACACCGTGTCACTTGGAAGCTGCATGGGATAAAGGCGAGAAACTGCACGCAAACGGAAATATGTTTTGTTGTTCAATTATCACCGTGCGAAAATGTCATATACATGTAAACTAGCACGTAATCTTAAACGTATCGTCTTATTTGTCTTCAAATTTCTACCGTCATGGTTTAGATCTTAATCGGCGATTAAACCAACGGAATTGACCAATCGCCAATTGGCCAATTAGTTGAACTGAGCAAATTCCGTTAAGTTAATCGTCGATTAGATTTCAACTTCATGATTATGAGAAACGGGCGTAAGTGGAGTTGGGAACAAAACTTGGAAACAGTGCGGTAATTTTTATCGATCGATAAATATCTGCTGTTCGTTTTCTTGCACCTCAGCGCGATACGATTTCTATTAGACGCATAAGAGGTCAGGGACACACACACTTTCCAAGTGAAATGAACGCGCAATAGCGGTTTGAACTCGGAATATTTGACCTATCGGTTTTTCTTTTGTTTTGCAGTAGTTGGTGGTGGCATGGCTGGAGATTTCAATCGGGGTGCACCCGGTCCGGTAGATTACGGACGTACTGATAATTTTGGTGCCAGTCGCACAGTTGATTACACAGCTCGGAATGATTATGACCGAAGTGCGACTGGACCGATGAGAAACGGTGGTGGTGCGGTAGCCACTACTGGGTATGGAACTGGGTACACTGATGTGGGATATGATGAAAGCCACTGGTAACGTAGCTGCCATATTTCTTTTTCTTTTATTCTGAACAATTCTTCTTTTCCAAAGTAGCTAAAGATTTGAAGTTTCTTGAATTTTGAATCCCAGTCCGGATTGTCTCAAGCCAAAGTGGGAAATGCATCCGAACGGTGAGGAAAGTATTTTCTCATTTGTTTTATAAATAATTGAATTATACAGACTCACATTGGCTTGAAACAACTCGGTATTGTTTGCTTTTTGATTATACAATTTATTTTCAATTTTGAATTGAATGATATGCATATGATGATAATTTTGTTGTATAGTCTTTGTACTTTTCACATATTAATAAATTACATAAAGTTCCACAAATTACATATTATTCCAAATTTATATAAAGTCGATTTTGTGATAATTTTTAGATTTAATTAAGATATTACTAATCACTGAAATAAGTGCAGTGAAATGTAGATTATTTATTGTTACGCAAGAAAATAACGATTTCGCATGCATTAGCACCCCACTTTATTTATATAAATGATACAAAAATTAAATATACACCTCAGAAATTCAATGAAATTACGATTAATATGAAAAGTCGCTGAAGTACTTATCACGGAAGCGGCGATTGTTGAAATTATCTACATTACACTGCATGTGTTTTACTTTACCGTTTTTTTACATTACAACAGCATTATTACACGTGAGGAAAACTTTTTCTTTATTTAAATTGAAACTTAATTTCTACACATAAGGTTTGAATGTCGACGTTGAAAATTACCATCTGTCGTTCAATTGAAACATTCCAATAAATTCGAATCGTAATTTTCAGTATAAACAGTCAAACCTTATCTACTTTTAAGAACCTAAGTTTAAGTTCCGACCGTGAACGCGTTAATTAATCCGACGTAGTTCAACTCGCTTCGGCTTAGGTTTAGAGAATTCGTAGAGCTCCTCGAGCTTTACAAATTTATTGGAACTGTCGTTAGACTTTATTTTTATTCTAATCTGAGGGGCTTTTTTCACGCGTTAAAGCGAAGAGCATATCGAACGAGATTGAGCGTTATATAGCGGCGTAGTAGATAGTATATTCTAAGTGTCTCAACCAGGATAGAGTGAAAATAAGTTTAACAGAGTGGGATTTATCCGGGTGAGCTTATGGGGAGGGAGGGGGAGTGAGGGAGCTACAATGGCCTGCGAAAGGAAGAACAGTCTTGCCGGTAATGATATGTCTTCATTTAACAGGCCAATGAGTACTGGACCCAGCTATAGCACTGGGGCACCCAGTTACAGTACTGGTCCAGGACCACAAGCAGACATGTTTAATAGAAGACCTGGCAGTGCCGTCCCTAGTGGTGGCTACCCACCGGTAGCTGGCGGGTGAGTTGGCGAACCTATCAAAAGATTGACTCTCACCAAACTTGGATTAACTAATCGATAAATTATATATAACAAGAATCGCCAACACCAGTTTTTAGTTCTGTAACTTTTCGCTCGACAATAGTCGAAAAGTTCATAGTTTCTATCTGTGTTAGCAAGATAGAAAGCAGATAATATTTGAGTGAGCGATTTTAAATCGTCAATTAGATTAATCAGAGTTCAGTAGAAGTCACCCTGAAAGAGAACGAAGAGCATTTTCGTGTTAACGCGTCTCTCAAACGTGGCCCAATCGTGTTGCAGTTATGCCGAGGGATATGACAGACCAGATGCATATGGTCCTCCACGTGGCGGCGGACGGTAAGTCGTACTTTATTAACATATCTGATACGTTCTTCTCACGAGACTGCGATTACGAGGGAAAAAAAAAAGTAACATATTTATCACATACACATACACACACGTTGACGTTGAAGAGCGAAGGGAACCTCTGTGCGTATACGCTTATCAATCTGGCGTCTCTCTACTCTCTCTTCTTGCGCTATTTACGCCTTTCTCGTTCTTATCCCGATTATTGTGTACACTCCAAGTTTCTATGCGGATCGATACAGGTTAAATATTTCTGTAAAAGTATAAGGTGTGACACTTTGCGCGACACTCGGCCATACGTCACGAGGCGTACCGCGCGGATTTTGTGTAAACAAGTCCGAGTATTCTCCGGTGCACGTGCAATAGGAAGTCGACGTCTCTATCTCATGAGTGTAAAAGAGAACAGAGGTTGAAAATCACCGTGGCTGACAAAATCCTACTGATCCAATAATCCATATCTCGGACATTCCTTTATCATGATTTTATATATACTTGTACAATTATATACATAGGGAATTTTGCAAACTCACTCAATATTCAATCTGCATATTCGACAAGTCATTGTCTACTCATTTCAAATAATCACGATGATACATTGATTAAAGTTCGAGGCATGTAAATTGTATTGGGAAATTGTTGTAAAACGAAGTAAGCGCGAGTGAAATTATTCTAAGAAAGAGAAGACACTCGAGAGTGTCGATTCGTCCGATTAAAATTCCGAATTTCTCTTGCAAATCAACCGGGCTAATTTCTCACACATGCATGCAACATGTAATCGATTTTATCAGTTCGGAAACTTACCGCCACGTATCAGTATTGCTGCGATGCGTCACCTCTCTTCTTTTACGTACTCCGCAATGAAAGTCCTCGACCTCAGCGTCCGTCCGAGATGCGCTATGCGATTATCCTCCCACCGACGAATCACGCGATGGCGATGCGCTCGAAAAGGCGGAAGTTCCCCCTGTAAATACGAAGATATCTCCGGCCGATGACCGAGATTTCTGCGTGCAGTGTCTCACGCGACGTGTTCCGCGAGAATTTTCTGCGCGTCCGTACGTAAAAACATGTCTCGGAGAACGGAATTCTCCCACGAGCCATCGACCTCACACATACACACACACTCTTATACATCTTAATCTCGTTATCACCGTCGCGACTTCTGCGCCGTTGCGCACTTTAAAATTTAAAATTGTGACTACGAACGCACATTCGCCTTCGCATTTTCTCTCTTTCCTCCTACAAAATCCGAGACCGGAAAATCCTTCCGAATTCAGTCCGTTTCGAGAGGAAGAGAGAAGAGAAAGTGCGTTGCGTTGCGGTTGCTGCGCCCACGACATACAAACGACGATCGAACTTCCGTTAAAAGTACGACGTCATGACTCGAAACTCCTCCGCTCGCCACGGAGATCGAATCATTTTCCAAACGCACTTGCGACCAGTGCCCGAGAGACGACCGACCGACCGACCGATTGCGGCATATCGACCAGCTGTACACATGTGACAGTTGACCAGAACTGGGTGCGAGCTTTTCTCTTCGTCGACGATTAACTGAGATCCCTCCTGACTATTTGTATTCGTGTCGTTTTATGTCCAAAAGCGATTCAGTCTCTCATATGATAACGCCGTATTCTTTAAAAAAAATATAAAATATGTTGACGTATTGATAATGTACGTTAAGTATATAATATCTGCGAGTAACGAGGGTCAGTTAAATTGTGCTCCGGATAGCCGAGATCAAAGGGAGAAAATTTCACGGCGTGCCGAACGAATCGATTTCAAGTCTTACCCAGGTCTGGTAGCTGTATATTTCGGCAAGTGTGGCGTTATATTTGCGTTGCGACGTGAGAAAAAAATCGAGACGAAAAGAAATATCTCCAAGATTCTCTCCACCGTATATATTCGGCATAACCACCGTCCGTCCGTCATCGGAATTACGAGTTCTCGCATCCGGACGCGTCCCGCCGATCGCGCATGCCAGTGTTACATCTTATACTTTCCCTATGTCCCCTTGCATTCACAGCAAGGCGATCACACGAATTAATTCTGCGATTTTTCATTTTTCTGACCTTTTAGCTTCCCAGGTCCGGCAGACGCGATGCCACCGAGGTACTAAAAGCTTGTACTAAAAGCGAACGCTAGCGCATGCGAAAGGGAACCATTTAAAAAAAAAAAACAAACACACAAAATGAAAGAAAAAAAAAAGACTTTTTAGTGCTGTCATTTCGCTTACGGATTCGATTACACCTAGGAACTGCCCTCTGCGTCCGACATATAGAGTCCGTATTAATAATAATAATGAGAATACATATACATATATGACACACATATATATATATATATATATATATATATATACATATATACATACATATATATATATATTGTTTAATCGTATTTCGTAAGAGATATGGTAAGAGAAAAAAAAATACGAGATATCAGTGGGAATAATATAAATAATGAATCGTCGATTCAGTCACTAGGTCTGTATCGAGAGATACGCTCTATGGGTTTACAAAAATTTATACATATAAATTGTAATCAACGATATAAATTCATTGTATCAGCCCATCGTGTGTGTGTATGCAGAGAAGCAGCAATTTTTTCGGCATTATTACAGTTACTTTTTCGTGCAACTTACGTTCATAAGTTTCCGTTTTTTTTTTTGTTTATTCTTTCTTTTTTATTTCTCCTTCTCTATGACTAAGTAAAAATCCTAACGTTCTGATTTCTCTCCAACGGTGGGTGTGTGGGTATATTCTTTTTAATTATAATTCGTAATTCTCTTAAAGCCCATGCTCTGTAAGATAGAAGATTTTGTTCTACTCTGTTAGCGTTAATTCCACTTGGACTTAGACTATTACAAGAACGCTGTGTAATCCCATTTTTTTTTTTTTTACGTATAAGAACTTTTCGCATAAGAGAAATGTTTTAAATGTTCATTAATAAAGCAACAGAGAAACGTACATAACGGCAGTTGTCGATGTATCTTTATTCAGAGCAAATAAAGCACAAGCGTGTGTCCTAATCTTTGCAAGGTTTCTGATAATATGATGTAATTCATTTCGTCTTTTTCCAGTCACTTGGTACGTGTGTAGTACAATATCAATAGAGTTTAACTATTCATCAACTCCGCAAAAGTGTAATTACAAATTACAGAAGGAAAAAAAAACGTTGCTCCATCCATCGGTATTATCTTGCTCTAACGCGACACACGAGCCAAAAGTGTTCGCCACTTTGCTTCAAAAACGTTTGCATTCATCTCTCTCTTTTTCTTACCTCCCTCATCGTTATGCGATGATTTCAATTATTTACACGAAAAACATCAAAAGTACAAAGTTCTCTACCTTGACATCATAGCGAACGCTAATTCAGTTTCTTCGTAGAAGAGAGGTCGAGCTTTAGCAGCGACATCAGGTAGAACGTAGAGTCGCCCATCCAATTATCAATTCGCGCACATTCATAGGAGAGCGAACAGAAGAGAGCAATTAGTTGCTAATCAGCGTGCGCGCCAATCATGCCACTTAATGTGAATTCTTAATTCGACGACGTTGTGCATTGTGATCTTGATCTTGATATATATATATATATATGAAAAAGTAACGAAAATATGATTAGAGAAAAACAGAAAAACGATAAGAGAATTACGTCGAGAATCGTTCGATGGCGATGCAGAACGTCCCAATCTCCAGCTGGTGCAGTTTACTTAGTTAGGCCTGACTGTACTGAAAACGCCGGTTTATGAACGTGCGGCGAGCGCGTTGCCGCGCGTTACCCTCTGGTGTGTGGCTTGTCGACCTGCGATTATTGAAGAAACCTGCGATTACGACGATTACTCGCTATCGCGTGGCGGCGCTACCCCGTACGATGCGGCGAACGGCGAATAAACCAACCTGCGAATATATGGATTAATGCGCCACAAATTGCGTTTTGCGCTCAAAGCTGGCGTGCTTTGAATTTAAACTGAAGGTATGTTCAACGTGCGTGCGACCTCTTAATACTTTATATGTTGAGAAAAAGCAGAAGCGGGCCCTCTCGGGTCTACTGCCTTTACATATACATATATATTTATATACATGATATATTTATAATTATACATGTCGATGTTCTCATGAGTGCGAATGGAGAATATGTCCGGTCGATTTGAAAAAAAAAAAAGCACAAAAAATCGCGGTACCGTTGAAAGAAAAGAAAAAAAAACATACAGAATCGTATGCGCGCGTGGTACATAAACGAAAGCGGCCGCTTTTCCGTCGACCTCTAGCTGTTGCGAGACATTGCGAATAGAAATGCATCGATTCTAATTCCGTCTCTGCTCCGCATGTGTATCTCAGTAGCGAAGTAGTTCTCCGATCGAGAAAAGACACAGCTAATGTAACTTTCCGCTCGTTCACACATCCGTCAATATTGACACGGACCCCTCTAGACGATTCGTTTAGATCATTCGTCCAAATATTCCGTCTAATCTAATCGGGAATTTAATGAAGCAGTTGATTTCTTTGTTGACGTGTCTCGGTCAACTCTCTCTCTATCTCTATCTATTTATCTATCTATCTATCTATCTATCTCTCTATCTATCTCTCTCTCATGCATATGTATACATGCGTATCAATTCTGTGAACTTGAAGATTGCGCGCGTTTCGAAACCGATGTCAATTTGTATATCCGTTTTAAGCGGTACTAAGTTACGTCAAATATTTTCCGACACGATAACTCAAAGATCAAGAGATTCTTGGTCTCTTTGCTCTGCGAAGATAGATGAGCTCGTACAAGAAAGAACTAAATCTTGCGTATCGCGCGCTGAATTCTTATCGTATCCTTCGTTAAGTTAATGCGTTTAAATCGATGTCTCACGAGATGGAATTAGAATTCAAGCTGAACGTATGCGATGCGATCAATTGAACAAGACGCATATTGCTTTTCCCCTTTCTTTTTTTTTTTTCTTTTTCTTCACTAACACCGTCGTCGCGAGTTGCGAATCCTGCAGTCGAGTTTTTCCGCAGAAAGAGAAATTCTTGGCAAAAAGTTCCGTTCTCGTTCTTCTTCTTCTTCTTCCGATGAAACTTAAGCGCCATACGCTTCAAGATGTTGCGTCTTCAAAACGTAATCGTTAATCGTTAATATCGGTGAAAAAACGTCGCAAAAAATTTACTCGCATTGTTGTCGACCTGCACAGCGCTCCAAACATTTAGTCGATGCATTACGTCTTACTGGAAAAAAAAAACTTATATTGATCCGTGCACCTTCTCGTTTAACGAAACATTTATATATCAGTGCAAAATGCGTGCTCGTTTTTCATGTTACGTTCGAGATCATTTTTACAAGTCGTAAAGCCGATTCGTAAGAGTAGCATACGATTGCTACCAGTCATTGATCATTTCTCCGAACATTGACTTTAGCTGGCGTTCATACCAAAATGAACGATAGTACTATAAGTTAGTTTTATTATTGCGTTACGTAAGTTCACGAGTGTTTGGTATACATTCCCTATAATAAGATACTTTTTTCGATAGATCACAAACGGGATGAGAGGACAGACCGATGGGGCATTGAGATGAACTCAAATGGGAACTGCTAATAAACCCCTCAGAAGTGTTCACTATCAGTGTGTGAACTCGTTTACGTGTTCTCAGAGATGTGGGCACGGACTAAGGGAAGAGGATGGGGTGATTAACGTCTGGCCATATGCGACGCGAAATGAGAACGGCAACAGAGCATGGTACGGCAAAAAAGAAATGAAAGATATCGATATTTGCTAAATTCTTGCAAATGATTTTTATTGAAATGAAAAATGTATAACTATTAAAATAGATGTGAGTTTTACATATATGTATAAAATACGCGTGTATACAGAGTATATACTTGTACTTGTCAATGTGAACAGAAAAATCCTTTATTATTTTTCGAACAATCACGTAAAATATTGAGTTATTAATTATTGAAAACGCATAGAGGTTTCTTTAATTAATAACTTAAAAATTTTTGTAATTATTCGCAAGATGATAGAGTACCTTTTCGTTCACGTCGACCCAAACTGTAAATACACGACGGATGAGACACTTAGCGACAGACACTCTGTATGTATGTAAAATTACCAAGTTACAAAGTCAGTCGTAATTATATCGACTAATTACAGTTAGTCTGCTCGTATCTTATTGGACTATCACAAGAAACGTTAATAAATGTGCAAAAACAATTCACACTCGCTTCTTCTTTCCCCAACACCTCTTAGTTAGTAACCAATTATTGAGCATATGTTAACATCAACAACGTAAATCTATAGGAATCCATTCGTTCAGTATTCACGCGTAAAACCAAAACTGTACATTCAGTTCGTTTCGCAATCGCGACGTTTATCTTATCAAAGCTTATCCAAACTGGCTCTCTCTCCGCAACCGCCTGCGTAATCGTGCACGAGTCCGGCCACTTCTACGGCCAATTTGTTGACTTCCGACGCGTCCTCGCATTCCGCATAGACCCGCACCACATCCTCAGTCCCGGACGGCCTGGAAAGGAAGTCATGGATGAGTCTCTTGCGCACAAGGGATGCCTCTCGAGGCTTCATATCAGAAAACATTAATACCTAATGAAAGATCGTCCTTTCTCGTACTTCGACACGGTCTTGTCGATCTCCTCTTGCAGGCCAGCCGGCGTCACGCACCGTCTCTCAGCATCCATCGTCGTCACGACGTTCCTGTCGAGAACCTTGACCTTGAGCTGCCTATTCGGGAACTCGCTGTAAGTTCGTTCCCAGTCAGGGGTGTCCCAGTCTCTAGCGTGTAGTATAGTCTCGACCAACAGTATGTTGCTGAACGCGTCGCCGACCGCCTCGTTTATCATGTCGATCACAGCCCTCAGCTTCGTAACGGCCGCTCTCTGCGCCTCCGAGAGCGTCGCGTTCTCCGCGTGCTCGCGGATAGCTCGTTTGGCGCTGTCCTTGAAGAGCACGGTGCCGTGGCCGTTCGCCTCGAAGTAGACCCCGATGTCGAAGTTCTTCGCTTCCTTGTGCAGATGCTTTACGCCGGTCGGCACGCACTTCACCGGTAACTCCAACACCCGCGTGATGTAGTCGGTCACCGCGCCGTTGGAGTACGCGGTCTGCACCAGACCCAGGTGTAAAGGCAAGCCACTGTCTTCCAGCAGTTCTTTGACGTAGACCGCTATCAGCGTCGCTATTCGGTCCCCGTCCATCAGATGGAACTTCTTAGACTCGTCCAGGTAAAAGTACACCACTCGATCGGCGTCTCCGTCCACGCTGACGCATCTGACGGACGACTCGGACGGGAAGTTCAGAGGCATCGCTTGCTGCACCTTGACGTAGTCCGCGCCACACTAAACAGGAATGCATCATCGAACGGTTAGAGACGGCAAATTAGAGATATCAGACGGGCGAAGTATTTCTTAAGCTCATCAAGAAACGATGTATATACTTTGTGGTTCAACTGCTCGCTTCCATGATTGAACATGACGATTTCCAATGAGTCTCCCAAGTGTTTCTGAAATTCTCTCGCGGCTATAGCGCCGACACCGTTCGCAGCGTCCAGCTGTATCACCTTCGTGTAATACTGTTTGTTTCTTTCAGCGCCTCTCACGCTCTTGAACGTCGTTGCGAGCTTCGAGTAGTATCCCTGCAACGTAGGCTCGCCGTACACACCGTTGGTGTTCGTGCATAGCACGATGTAATGTAACTGTGGAGTTGTGACTAATTCCAGGTTTACAACAGCACCGTTCAATGCCTCGACGCCTTTCCTGGCGAGTTCCATCAACTTAGGACTGGTTTGGCGAGTGTCTCTACCTAATACCACTGTAGCTGATGCAGATAAATCAATGTTCTCGTTTGTACATATTTGCTTCAATTTCTCCTTCAAACTACTGTTTTCCGCATTAGCCAAATCAGTTGCAATTGCCTCCCAAGAGGCTTCCAGCATCTCACCAGCAGGATCAACGAGTTTAATACCATTATCAGGTTCCGGGTTGTGACTGGCAGTGATCATCAATCCTATAGCAGCTGTGAAAGACGTATTCTTTAAGAAAAACCCATGGTCTCAGCGAGAAGCTGTTAGATAAAAAAGTAAAGGCTTTAAGGCTCCTGATCCCTCGCTGCAACCATCCTTGGTTGATAAGGAAATATATGCCAGGAATTCTTGCGTTATACGTTCAAGTAAAAAGATATACTCGCAAAATGAGTACTCGGACAATCAATAGTTGCAAAATTAACTCGACATGGAATCTTCCTCTTTAATCTCTTTAATCATGATTTTGTTAATTTTATGACTATTTATTGTTAGAGTAAAAGAAGTGTTAGTACAAATGTGTTGAATCGATCACAAATTCGTTGTTTCGTTAGTATATCTATTTATTTGAAAGTATAATGCAAGAATTCTTGGCTTCTGACGTCATCAAGCAAAAACAGCTGCAGGGAGAGGCCAGGAATTTTGATATTATTTTATGCTCATACCTTTCTTTAACTTTGATCTCAACACTGCTAAAAGACCCATCTTGTACATGACATGATCCAGAAGATCCGCACTGAAATGATCAAGAGATATTTGGAGCATATGTGTGAAATTAATTATGTATATTGGCTGAAATAAAAGGAAAGCACATTTTTCGGCTTTCATGGCTTGGCCGAAAACAAGCAATGTTCCTGTCACTTTGTGCAGTGAAATCAACAAGTATTGATTGCCAAATTGACAGGTACTCACCTGGTTCTGAAACCAGCAGTTCCATACTCGACCTTACTTTTAGGATTCTCGAGACTTTTAAGGGTTTCGGATATGACATTGTGAAAATAATCCGATTCAGAATCAGACAACGATGACGAGCTCATGGTGTATTTATTTCAATATGCTACAAAATATGTCACACAACAATGCCTACCGCTCAACTATCAATCTTCCTTTTTCCCTCCACCATTTAATGTACACTCAGGAGTAAAATAGTAGAGACACTTTCTCTTCGGTGTTACGAAACGCGAACGTGTCCAATAGGAAAATGGGATTTCTAGTAATTTTCAAGAGATATGTTTTCCCATTGGACACAGAAACTTACCAGCGTCCCGAAACTTACAGCAAAAGTATATTCCCATCATCTTGTCTGTGAGTGTACACTTATCCAAGTGCACATCCGCTTATCTCTTATCACTAACGGGAAAGTGTCGCCTGTGATAAAACGATGCCTCTCTAAGGATCTGTGAACTTTCTCATAATTTCCAAAAACATCTTTCTCCCTTTATGCAAGCTACCACATCGGCCCGCATGTATTTGTTTGAATGTACAACATTCAACAAAAATAACCTATAGTCGTCTAGAGTTACAACGTACCATTTATAAATTTTAACATTTTTTACATGAAAAACTTTCGGTCGTTAAAGTTAACCGGGAATTAACAAGTTCTTACATTTTTCATCGATGCGTCGGATACATATGAAATTTATGTCTGAGCCACTTACATAATACTGAGTACTATCGTTATATATGATTTTCATGCATAATATAATAGATAGGTACAAACACAGGAAACCTCGTTACACGGTATCCACCAATAAACACGATCACCTTCTCATCTACGTAGATCTACTACTAGAGGCCGCGGTTTCGCGCTTGCCAGAGCTGGTGCTCGCTTCGTTGTCAGGTACGCTCTCCCTCAAATTTTCACAAACCTCTCCCTCTTCGACGGGAGTCTCAGTTTCCATCGCAGCTGCTTCAGGTTTCACCTGCAACGGCACCAGCGTCTCGTTACAGATGCACTTTCTGATCTCATACCCGATAGCAGCTCCCAGTGGCGGCGGCACCGCGTTGCCGACTTGTCGATGCTTGTCAAGAATCGTGCCGTAGAAACGAAATGAGTCCCGGAATCCTTGCGACCTCGCGCATTCCCTGACGCCCACCACTCGCGTTTGCACTGGGTGTAACACGCGGCCCTGAAAAGCAATGTCGGAGGCATTGTTTCGTCTTTCCTTCGCTACGGTATTCTCCACTACCTGTGGCGCTGCATCGTACCTGTTTGCCCATCGGTTCGGGATTCGTGATGGTTGTACTGAAAAATCCGTCCCATTCCAGTCTACCGTATAAGCCTGACCAGTGAGTGTGTCGGTTTCCAGTGTGTGGCAGGCACCACGGTATCAAAGTGTTGAATTGTTTGTCAGTGGAATCACATGGTCGTCCGGTGCTACAACTGCACACTCCACGAAGCGCGCCAGTCGAGCTTCTTCCAGCCCTCTTATCATCGTATAGGTATTCCCTAGAAAGAAGGAAAAAGATTCGCGCGATATAATGCGACTCCAATTTGTGTGTACACATATACAACGTATATATGCATGTATGTATGATGTATATATATACACACAATAACGTGTGTATATATATATATAACGGAATATATGAACGATCTTTAAATCACAAAAGAAGAGAACTCGGACTGAGACTTTAGATTTACAGTTTCTTAGTGACGGTGAGGTCGCTCAATTGCAAAACAATATTCGGCAAATCACGCCAATCGGAGCCGCTCGCGGTCGGAATATGAGCTATTCGCGCCTCTACAAGCGGTGCCATTTCTTTGCATATGTGGTCCCTCAGCATCGGCTGGTATTGTTTCATGGTACCTCTCATCTAACGAAAGAAATAAAGGAAGGAGGTATAAAGAAGTATTAGGTAAAAATTATCGGTCACTTTTCTTGGGAGAAAGAAGAAGCACCACGAGATTTCTTCGAGATCATTACCTTTCTCTGAAAATGAGACAGAGGTTCACTACCGTAAGGCATCTCCTCTTGGTTCCAGCCGTTTTTGATGGTCGGCAAATCGGACATAGCATCCTTCACGCTAATCGTTCTATACGGCGCGGATTGCACCCAGGAGCAGTTTGTTGAGTACTGAGATTGCAACGCAACGTGCCAAAGAATAGCGTATATGTAATATTATACATTGTGTGTATATATATATATATATAGTATTATAATTTATACTAGAAATCTAACAATCAGATTAATACGCGAACGAATACCTTTCTGTTATCCACTATTACGCTCAGCCGACAACATCTCTTAGTAAATACGTGTGTCGGTTCCGGGTAATTTGGAAGTTTCTCTCCGGGAGCGGCAGCTAGGATTATCAGTCTAAAACGTTCGTAAATTACTATTGATAAAAGGACATCTGATATATTCGTGGACGAGAAAAAGTTAAGGGAGAGAGAACGGAATGAACCTTCTTCTCGTTTGTGGCACGCCGTAATTGCCGGCTTGGAGGACACCGAATGTGCACTGATAACCCATTCGGACGAGACAACAGAGGGTCAATTTCAACACCATGCTCCTTTTGAAACTTGCGAAAGTTCGTACATTCTCCATCACGAAGAACTTCGGTCTGTAATAGTCGAGATAGGACAAGCACGAAACGACAAGGGAATTCTTGAATAATGAATATTGGCGGAAATTAAAGCGATTCATGCCGCTGAAACCTTGACACGGCGGCCCGCCGCACAGGAGCTCGACTTCCCCTTTCTGCGGATATCTTTGCCCACTCTCATCCATAAGTTCACCCTGAAGAGAGAGAAAGAGAGAGAAAAGTGTTTCAGAATATCGCTGCAATCGTATGTCACATTATACGTGTATATCTGTTAGATACAAGAGAAACCTGCCTGCATCACTCTTTGCAATAAGTTGTTGCAGTCCGTCGAGAATACCGTTGCGTTGGGATAATTCAAACGATATGCGTACGCCGCTGGTTCGTCTTTCTCGATGGCCCACAAGGTCTGAGCTACTCCAGCCTCATGCAATCCGGCGGATAACCCTATCGAAGAGAAGGACAATTTTAATTACAATAGTATTTAATAGCATTTTGCACTTGTGGATATGCTGCAAATGAAATGATTTTATTCACCTCCACAACCAGCAAAAATGTCCAGTGTTCTCAGTCTTCTCGTTATGGCAGGGTAATCTACTGGTTTATCGATAACCGGTTTACTTTCCGTCTCTTCTGTCTTCTTTTTCTGTTTACCTTTCCCTTTCCCTTTACCGGATTTGCCCATATTAACAACATTGTAGGGTGGCTCATCGAAAGTTTTCTCCTCGGCATTATAAGCCTCGGTGAAGTAAAACCTGTACGGGCCGCGCACGGTCCAATCTTCGACGGATTCGCTTAGATTCTCAGAATGCATCAGATAACATTTCCCAGCGACTTCGGTAAATCTCACGTTGAACACTGCAACGAGACCAACAGCTCAATCGCTATTTTAGATAGACGTAGGCGAACGTAGAACTTATGCTTTAAATAAGCGATTCTGGCGGTATGTATGTTATATACCATCTATTTTAATAATGACAACCTACCTTCATCGCTCCAATAGACCATGTTAATGTCCGCTTGCTCCATTAACGTTGAATCACGATGGGTATTCTCCGGCCTGTACATTCTGTTCACCCTGATATAGATGTCCGAAGGTGAGACCAGTACGTTATTCGTGGTGGCATATATCGCGTTTATATAGCCGATGTGGAAAGGTTCGGGCGTGAACAAATTCGAACCCTTGATCCGTAGGTGATCGGAAGATTTCCTGTAGAATTCCGGATACAAGTCCTCATTCACATTCTGCTTCTTCGGCAATTGAACCTCTTGGTGCTTCCACATGTATTTAAATTTAAAAGCGCTCGGCTGTAAAAATACCGCACTGCCGACTCTGTACTCTTCACCTTTGTACTTCACCATGCCATAGGTTACCTCCCTGCTGCTTTTCTCTTCTAATCGCTCGCAGACCTGGAGAGACGAGAAACGGATCTCTACGATCTTCCCGGATCTGTTGTAATTTATCATCAAGTCCTAGTTTATTTCAACATTATGCTTCACATACCCTCGGCCTGTTGTATTGCTCCAACGTACTCAGATGGGCGCAAGCCGGACAAAATCGATGACTGTTCTCTTTCCGCAAACATTCCGGATCCGGCAATGGATCCTCAAACCGGCCAGTTTCAAAGGTGTATCTCATCTTGTAAAAGAATGTCTTACCATCTATATCCTTTATCGCATCGTTTACATCCATATTACCTGCGTTTATAATGTTTTATTATAAAACTTCGTATAATTATTTGTACCAAGTATAAAAATTAAATGTTAAGAAACTTGAATCGACAGATTCGTTCGCTTAATTTCTCCTCACCTAACTCGGACCAATTCTCAGGCAATTTCTTATGGATTACGGTTGCCTTCGAGCTGACTGATTTAAATGGTACGTCCTCGCAATCATCGCTTAAAAACACCTCCATTGGGTCCGCGGTTTCACCGAGAATGGTATCGGTGCCTCTGCGAAACCAATTGGCGTGAAATTGCTTCACTCCATACTTATTCTCCCACATGTACATGACTTTAGCAATGTGTAAAGGAATCGCCGGATTTCTTGGTTCCACTAAGACGTAATCGTTTAATTCTATTCTTTCATTGCCAACCATAACTGATTTGTAATATGTCTTTTGTGCCTCGACTATTTTATCCTCCCCTATCCACACTATATCCTTCTTGAGTTCCTTGAAGTCCTTCTTCGGCTTCTTTTCCACATTTTCATCGTTTTCTAGAGCATCGTCCTCTTCATTCTCTAGATCGGAGTCGTCTGCTTCCTGAGTGTCAAAACGCGTCACTTAGATAAAAATAGACATTACACGACATTGACATTGACACATTTTATAAAGTAATAAGCGAGATCACGATATACAAGCAAATTATCATTCTAACTGAATTTTACCTGAATTGCCATGTTTGGACACCTTCGTCTGACACATGCTTGCTTGCTTCTACCACTACCACCGAATTTGATCATGTCTTTGCAAGATGCACAAGCTCCGCAGTCAGGTTGCTGACAGTTCTCGCAAATACCGCAACGTTGTCTTTTGGGACCCTGTTGATAAGAAAGCGCTTGATTTTCAGCTTGAATGTAATTACAGAGATAACGAAATACAGTTAATGATATACGAGTACGTACCATTGTTTTTTTATCATCATCATGTTTAGCAAGTTGATCAGTAAAAAAATTCTCAAACATATCGCTGACTAATTTCGTCGTAGTAGCCTTCGTCCAAGCAGGCTGTTTAACCTTCTGCGTACGAAGAGGCGCACGACGAACGACTGATCTCTTGCCCAACATCACACCACCGTATTTCGCGAGAGATCGCATACACGGAGTGGTGATGAGGAGAGTATCATCGATCTCGGCGGAATCATCAAACGACACCACTTGATCACAGATGAACTGCGCGTGACGCAATAGAGAATCTTCGGTAAATTTGATCAAATCCTTAGGAGGTACTGATGTCTGCAGCAATGTGAAAATAATCACACCGTTAACACATTGAGAGGGCATATTTTGAAATGATATAATACGAGATAAAAACTCACCTGTAGCTTATTCAATAAGTCTTCATAGCTCGGATTAATTTCGTCTAACAAAAATTCTATAACCAATTTGCTCATGTATATCTTCTCTCTGATGGCAGTCATAAACGGCGCGTAAGCTTCAGATGGCTCCATTAAAATATATTCCGCGAATGGAGTGTTAAAACCTATCAATGCTAATTCTCCGCCGTCAAATCCAGAAACATACCACTCATTGATTGGCCCCATATCTTTTGTCGGTATACCTCCATCGGGGAATGAATTCTCATCGTAAATGGCTTTCATGTATCCAGAAAAATATAACATCACATTCTTTTCTATGAGTCCTGTGTCAAAAGCACACAGATGTCCATTCTTATCGTAAACACTGAAAGCAGAATTACATGTACATATACATAAATGTGTGTGTGTGTGTGTGTGTGTATACTTATGCTAACTGTGTATAGCTTTAAAGTATCCAATCGCTTTACTACCATGAAAGATAATTTTGTGTCACATATTTCTAGGAAGTGAAATTATGTGTAAAAAGGACTCACCTAAAATAAGTTAATTTATTTTGTGGTCTCTCATCACTTTCATGTACAAAAGATTCATCTCCCGTAAATAAACAGAACTTAGAGTTTGTTAAAGCTACTTGCTCTTCTACCGCACCATTTGGATGTCCCTGATATAACTTTAAGTTTAAATCTATTTTTTGCTTGCAGTATTCGCATCGACTGATGATTACAGTGTCCACTGGTTTGTTAATTTCAGGTTTTGATTGCACCATTTCCTTGCAGTCCTCTACTTTTATTTTTTTCTCCAGCTGCTCCTCTACTTGATCTTGATCTTGATTCATTTGCGGATTACAATTTTCTTTATCACATCCTACCTTAACATCTATATCCGGCACATTGTTGTATTTTTCTTCATGTGGATCTGGTGATTTTGTATCATTGATTGTATCTTTATCAATGTTCAGTTTCTTCTTTTTCGACATATGTTTGGCAAATAGGTCCAAGACAGATGGAATTTGGTCAGTTTTTGTCGATCCATTTGATGCTGCAGCATGTTCTTCCACATCAGCAAGTTTCCTGCTGCGCGTTATCCTTTTGCTACAGCTTGATCCACTTGAAACGATAGGTGGCATGGTTCTAAAATCATAAACAAAATATTTATGTATTATTCTATACTTATATATATATATTATCCTTATATCTATATTACATGTGCACACAACACTATTCAAAGAAATTATTTAATAGTTTTATATGCACAAATGTTACAGAAGCAGCTCATGAATCACTGGGTACTGTATCCAACATCTGAAGTCTGTCCTTTTTCGAAGAATTTCCTATGCTGATGTACATCCGGTCACAAGACAGCACTTATTCTTTTTTTTGTTTCGGAATATATTAGAAATATAATGAAAGAAGCCTATGATTTAAGAGCGTAGGATATGCAGTAGATAGTCAGACAGTAGATACGTATATGCCAAAATTACATATACACATATAATTTTATATAACTTTTTTTATATACAATAGTACCATAAGTTAGAGTAAAACAAATATTGTTGGTTTCATTTTAACTTATTGTTCTAGTATAGATCCGAAAAGTTCTTTGAACAGACTTCAGATGTTTCTGGCAATGATATGCTTGTTTATTCATTGACACCTTCGTCATGGAAACCAATCAATCCTTGTAAACCTTCTATTGGCATAGGAGACAGGCCTTATAGTAGTCCATAACCATAATTGAGAAGAAGAAGAAGGTATGCTTGTTTCATGAGCTGTTTTTGTAACATTATGTAAAACTATCAATTTCTTTGGAAGGTATGTTGTGTGAGATCTCGAGGTGACCTCAGACCCTTAATCCGTCTGATCATAGAGAATATTGCCAGCTGCAATTACTCCCCACAAGCATGCATGACACCTGGACACCTGTGCGAACTCATTCATTTCGCCGTAACATTGATGCGCTCGGCGTCGAGAGAAAAGAAACGCAAGACAAAGGCATCTTGAGAATGTCTTAAAGATGTCTCGATTTTGGATATTATGATGTCTATGGACTGACAATCGCAAGTGATGCTGTGAATTGAAGTACTCACCTGGTGAACGATTTTACCGATGAAACGTTGCGCTGTGTGGATTTACACGCAGATTGATCGATCCAAAGCAGAATATCATTGAATGTGGCACAGTCACTCGTTGGAATGTACGTGTGTGCTTGACGATCAGATGATCGATGATCACCAGCAGGTATAACGAGACGTGATCTTCCCGATGTAACGGAATTGACGTGCCCGACAATGATCACAGTTCACGCCGGGCGATTCACCACCTCCCGCAAAAAAGTGTGTGCGTCCATTTGCGATTACTCACGACGGTACAATCTCTCCCGCACGTCAATGTGCCGTGACATTCCCGCCCGATTTGCCTTTTTCCCGCCTCGTAATGGCTCTTACGTACGTTCGACACGAGCATATATAAATATGTACCCGGGGATCGTTCTTTTTGGCTACACCGGAGGATTTCATTGTCGCGATTCAAGCCTGTTCTACAATATGTCGTATGTCGTTGTCCAATGAGATGATTTATTTTTCGAAAGTGAATTCTCCTCATTGGACCATCGACTGCGTTCTCACATCCGACAACAACATACGACGTATTGTAGAACAGGCTTCAACGATATGTCAGACGGGAATTCGTACTTTTAAATAATACGACTCAACGGCGCCAATTGTGTAATTTTACAAATTTAAAAATCGTATCAGATGGGTGGATACCGATTGACACGTTACAATTGGATACGTTCGATTGGACACGTTACGATTAGACACAAATCGATTAAATACCGTAAGATCGACACATTGCCCGATTGAACACCGCAATATAAACTGTGGCTTCTGCCTTCGGCTAAAAAGAACAAACCTCTTATTGAAACAGTTAGATCGTTTCGCACACTACTAGCTATATCTTAAGCCAGCGGCATACGATGCTTGTTTCGTGCTGGATTGTTTGCTGGTTGGAATGCTGCGTTCTGATTGGTGTATTTTCAAAAATGGATGACAATATACCAATAAAAACACAGTGTTTCTATCCAGCAAGCAATCCAGAACGAAAACAAGTATCATGTGCCGCTGGCTTTAGATTCAATCAAGAACATATACCAATCAGATTCATAAATTTTACTGTTATAAGGTTGCTTTCTCTTCTGGATGCAACTTTTTTTTCTATCTGTGATAAAACGTCTCAAAAACATCGTATTGTGATACTTTTTTATGTAAATTCGACGAAAGAACCATCGATTTGGTAGAAGAATAATTAACGAATGCAGTTTGTAGTAATTGTTCTGATCTCTGTTTTTTTAATCTTACAAGGGAATCTAGAATTTTGCTATAAATTTGTCGTAAAATTATCTTTGATTCGACATCCATTTCCATAATATCAATTTGAATTTGATCAGCAGCGATATAAATAAAAACAGTAAACAATGATGAGATTAAAATGTACTGTCAGGATATATGACAGGACATTGCTTTCGAAGCAAAGAACCTACCGTTCTGTATTGACAATCAGTAAGCAATCTGATAAAAACGAAGTATACCTTCTTTTACAAAATTTGAAAAATAAGGAAGGAATCAAGTATAAGGTAAAACGCAAGTATTTCTGATAATACTAGATTTATTATTTACACACTGTGAAATTTATATAAAATTGCTTCACAAATATTTTTTGATACTTTGTAGTAATGTCTGTATGTAGTATGTTTTCAAGTAAAATATTAAAATATTGTAGGAACATTTTTGAAAGAAAGAAATTTGTGAGACGATTATCTTCCTTTGCATTTTTTTCAGATTCACAACAACGTGGAAAAAATATTCACAAAGTTTATTGATGATGGCAAAGCCACAATAAGTTTGAAAGAACCTAGACATGATCTAATTATTGAGACTTTTTCAATTAATGAAGTTATTCAATTAAAAAGTTTCCTTCATATATTGAAACTCAGGTTGCGCAAGATTGGCGAATCGTCTTTCCCAATTATCTCGAATTTAAAGTTGAAAAACATGGATTTATCACGAGCTAATAAACTTGTGATTCAGAAGAAATCTGAGTATCCACTGTTACGTGGTTTCCCAAAAATAATAGAAGAACTTTCTATATTAGGATTAGGAAGAAGGTCTTTTGATCGACAAATTCTGAATTTGAAATATTTAAAAATTTTAAACTTGTCAAGTAATCAGATTCAACATTTACCTAAAGAAGTTGGCTGTTTGCCACATCTTCAAGAACTTATTATACCACATAATAAGTTAGGAAAATCTACATTTGAGTGGAAATGGATTAGTCAAGTTGAAATTAGAAGGAACTTACGCTTGTTAGATATCAGAAATAATGAAGTAAGTTAGGCCAATCACTGAGATATCACAAGAGCAGCACATGTTAATGAATTTTATTACTTCTAAAGAATATCTGTTATATAATTTATGTCTTATCATTATTTATAGATATCTGTATTGCCAGTACAAGTTGGAATATTGGATGTTCTAGTAAAATTACAAGTTTGCCAAAACTTATTGACCAAATTACCACAAAGCATTGGAAGGTTAAGAAATTTAAAATATTTGGAAGCAGCCAGAAACAATTTGTCGTGTCTACCAGGAAGCATGAGGCACCTGCGATTAGATTATTTGGATATTTCAGGCAATCCATTTAATTTTCAAAATTCTCATTTCGTTGTATATTATCACGTTAATGAAGTAGTAACTCTTGTTCAATATGCAGCTATAGCCTTACTAAAAGCCAGGTTTGTCCGCTTTCATTCTTTATTTTCAATGAACGTGTAATGTTTGATATACTTAATATATAATTTGAAATAATTTTGATATTTATTATCATCCAGGATAACGTATGATAATAGTACGATGCCACCTAACCTGGTGCAATTCCTGGATAATGCTACATTCTGCTGTGTATGTTCACAAGCCTGTTTTAATCGTTATGTACTAGACTACAAGGAAATGGAGTTAAGACGAGTAACTTGTCAAGTCAAGAGAACGGCAAATACAACCATTCTATATGAATGTTACTTTTGCTCAAAAACTTGTCAACGTTATTTTTAAATATTGGATGGACATTCTGTAACTGTTATTACACAATGCAACGTTTCATCGCGTGAAGAAAAAATTACCATCTGACACAAGTTATTTTGCATCCACAATGAATTGGGCTATAGTCACGTGTAAAATATTTTATATTCCTTACAGAACACATTAATTTATAATTTTTATATACGTGCCAACTCGTTTATATCTAATTATAATTTTTCATTACCGGCTACTTACGGTGATGTGTGACTGAATTAAATAATTAAAGTAATTATAAAGATAAACTGGTAACTGTTGTCTTTATCATATCTCATTGATAATTTGTAGAATTTAACATTTCTAAAAATTAAAATCTTAAAATAATTACTTAAAAGTTCAGATATAAAAAAATACAAAATTATAAAATATTTAATGTAATTAAAGATATTTAAAATGACATAATTCAAGTGACCATTTATTACAACTAAATTATAACAACTTATTTTCTATATTTAAATTTTACATGTTATTCTTTTATATGCATATATGAGAAACGAACAGACATACATAAGAAATATAATTTTTAAGAGAATTTCAATTCATCCTTATTTCTATTCTATTCTTAATTATTGTCTACAAACTCTATGATCTATATGTCTTTGTTTTCATTAGAGAACATATTTATATCCAAATAAAACATTGAGGATATTTCTTGCTGAGAATATTTTTGGCTCTCATTTCGAGACCCATTATTTTTTAATGTTCTGTAATGAATTCAATAAGAACATATATTTAAATGAAAATTACATAACAATATAAATCATTTCACAATATAAAACGTGAATGATCGTAAAAATGATCGCTTCATAATTTAATTTGAAAATAATTTGTATAAGTTATAGTAAGTAATTATATGCTGACGCTTAGAACATAGATTAATAATAAAAAAAAACTAAGCAACGCAAATATTTCATGAATCTAGAAATATTTTTATCATTAATCTCGAATTTCGTAATCTTGAGAGACTTGAAAACTTATTTAGTCTAACAAAATTTATCATAATTAAAACGAAATCAATATATATTTTCATATAAATATTTATGTATAAAAAATATATATGCTTGTGCTTTTATGTGATATTCATTATAACAAAATACGATCTCGTTTTTCAACTACATTGTACTTTTGTCTTTTTTCACAAACTTAAATGAATCATCGGTAGTTGTTCGAAGAAAATATTGTTGGGGCGCCTCTTTTATCTTCTTGCCGACACGTGGAACAGTAAAATCAATGTTTTTGAATCTTTTTACATTTACTCCCATTCGCAAAGGATGAATGTAAACTTCAGGATCTTCAGCATGAG